CACTTAACGCTCGCAACGCTCGCGAGCATCGTTTGTCCTTGTTTAACATTTGATAAACGACAAGGATGAAATGATTCCACGAGCGTTGTGAGCGTTAAGTGGAACGCAGCCTTAATGGCCCGTCTACAATACACGTAGTAAGCTTTGTTTAAGAAGTACGAGTAACCAAACACAATCGATTATTCTTCTCACATTCGACTGTGATTGGTCAATTTCTTAATAATTATTGAAAATGATCCTTCGACATTTTATTTGTAATAGTCAAATAGCTCTTATTTTTTATAGTGTTTATTTAATTCTTTTTATTTTTATTAGAAAATCCTTATATTTATAGTCAGATCTTATATTTAAGTCTTAAGATGTTAATCATAGGCCAATCACAGGTATATTAGCGTCTTAAGAAAATATTCTTAAGATGGTTTTAAAATAAGAATGAACTATGAATATAGTCAGTATTTATTTCATAACCATCTTAAGTAATGTTTTAAAAAGCTAGTACGGGTTTATGACTTTTTATGACATTTCAAGACTACTTAACGCGGTCTTAAATATCAATTGTGAGTCAAATATCAATCTCAAGAATCAATTGTGAATCAACTATGAACTGGCTGAAGAGTTGAATGCCAGCTCTTTCTACCAAAGATTCGGATTTCAGTTTACTCGGAACACATTAATGCCGAAAAGGAGCATGTAATATTTTGCTAAAATAAAAATCAATCGTATCTTATTGAAAATACTTTATTTCAATAATACTGCAAAAAAACGGCTCACATAGCACCGTAATAAATGGTATACATCGTGAAATGTTAATTGAAAATGACCAGCGATAGTCAAGTCGTTTAAGCGTGCAATATATTAAGATGAAACGCGAAAATTAAATTTTCATGAAAAAATACAAAATTTTAAGTTATATATATTTTTTTAAAATCTGTTCGTTTGACTTAAATTTCAAGTTCTTTATCCTTATGAATAATTTCCGAAGACTAAATTTCCTCTTTTAAAATTGCGATAAATAAATTTTTAACCGAACATTTTGACTGAGCATTAACAAGTTTTCATCAATAGCAATAATAGCACTTTTGTACTTTTATCTCATGTCCCTTTACTTTCATTACAGAAATAAAATTTAATAATTTAATACGGGAAATTACTTATTTTTAATGTTGAAAGCAGCAAACAACTCTCAAAATAAGTAATTATCCACTACCTTCCAGTAGTAAATTTCTGTAAGGTTTGAGAAAAATAATAAAAGTATCATGTGCGTAGCTATTGTAGTCGAACCATCGAAACTATATAATCATATATTCTTATACTCGAACTTTTACCTAAAAAATACTTTGCATTTATTAATTTATAAATGAAAGAAAACATTGAAATTTCTTCAGCTGGCTTTCGCGAAAAACTTTCGCACGACGATACTGCTGCGTTATATATGCTCATGTAAAAAATATTTTCAACTCTATAAACTTGTCGTTGTTAAAGCAGATTTCATAAGAATGCTAAAAAATTGCTAACCGCAAAATTTTACAATTGATTTATATTACATATGGATTACTTGTATGTAATATAAAATCCGTATATATGTGAAACATTATATCATTATTGTTTGATGATAAACTTGTTTCATAAGTACATCGCAAACACATAACAAATCTGTCATTTGTATGATGATGTATTGTCACGTTATTTTCTTACGATCGAATGTTATTCAGACCTATTAGACGAATTAACGTCGAAAACCGACGTATTCTTTCTAAATTTCATCGTTTTCATCGCGTTCTTTCATACTTCGTCGCGACGCGTCCGCTAATTCCGTCAGCAGAAGAGTTTCCGAATCAGGAGGGCTTCTAGATTCATTTTCGTTTAGACCACTGGCACTTCGAGTGAGTTTCCAGTTACGCCTTCGCTCCTTCCTCTCGGTTTTTAATTTCGTAAATTCGCTTGTGCCATTGTCACTACAAGAGGAGGTGCTTGACATGCTGGGTATGTCGTCGTTTAACCCACTACCGGTGTAACTAGGTGCTGGTTCATAAGTGGTACTCGACCTCATTGATGGTGCGGATTCTTGTGTCCTGAGAAAAAAAAAGTAAATTTTAGGAAAATTAAAATGCTGTCATTATAACTGAAACGCCAAATTTAATTTTCAAGTTTCTAATCAAATTTGATTCTAATGAAATGATGCTAGTGGAATTTAATTCCAATAAAATTTAAGGTAAATATACCGAATAGAGGAACCCTCCCATGACCTTGACAGGATCCCCTATTCGATATAATTATCATTTTTAAGGCTATAAAACCGGTAATGAAATTTCCAGACAATTCATATTTATGTCATACACGCAGTTACGAATTTTCTGATATACATTTACAAATATTGGAAATCAGAATTGATTTTTTGGCCTTAAATTATCAACCTTAAAATGCTCCGCCTTTCGCCCGTGGATTCTGCACTGCCAACTATCGTTAAAGCTCCTGCATGTGCGGGTGCACTCCTGGAGAATATCTCACGACTGTAAGATTGTGCGACACCAGGAACGTCGACAGGATCACTCGGCGGTGGCGGACCTTGCGCAAATATATTTTGTACGTGAGGCCTGCTTTCGTTCGATTGCCTTAACGATGTCAATGTCATCTGCTCGTCCACTTCCTCAATGACGCCTATTCTCATGGAGCCACTTGCACCTATGACATTATTGTTTTGGTCTTAATCAAATCGTTTTAATGCAATATCTAAGCTGTTATTCTGTAACTCTTAACGTATCGGTATCGATTATATTGTCATTGCGTCATTTTTTTTTATAAAATTTATGCAACAACAATGTAACGACATCGGCATTGTCATTAAGAGTTACAAAATCGGGATTCTAGTTAAACAAACAACGTACCAGGTGGTCGTGGCTGCAACGAAGCCGTTGAACCCATGCTCGGCATCTTTCCCGTGGTTTTAACGGCACTCGTGCTACCTCCGTCCGGCCTGTCATCCTTGCTAAACAATCGCTTAAGTGCATTAGTGACGCTGGCTACCCTCGTGAGGGATTCACCCAAATTGCTAGGAGTCGAACCGCCACTGATATTGCGATCTCGATTGCTCACTCTACTGGTGCTTCTAATAGAAAATTAGCAGAACTTTAGAATCTTGAAGATAAGTTACCATTTTCACATCAATATTATAATAATATACTATAAATCGTAATGTTTTCTAAAAGTACGACTTTATTATCTAATGTTATTACCAGGGTTGGCAAGTAACGCGTTACTTGTAACGTCGTTACCGTTACAAGTTACTTTTTTAGGTAACGATTAGGTAACAACGTTACATTTTCTTCTGAATAATGCTCATTGTAATGCAGTTACATGTTTGGGGTAATGGTAACGATTTCACTAGTTACTTTTATCGTTATTCTATTTCTATTTATATAAAAGTTTTAATTGTAATTAGAGCGTATTAATACATTTATCAGTTTTTGAGTTTTATTCCTATACTAAAAAATAGAATTCTATCTTTTTATATTTGTATTTTGTATAGCGTAGAAATTTAATTACGCGTATAATGGCGTTTTTCATTGGCAGAACTAGTGCGCATTCAGTGCACTTTAAAGCGGCTGTACAATCGACGTAAATATGTATGGTTAATAAAATTATAGAAACGAATTAAACCGCGAAATCCTCGATACATTTTATTATGCTATTTGATAAAATATACTTTAGGCACTTCATCAATTGAGATGTCTCATTTATACATTTAGAGTTATGTACAAAGATTTTAATGTGCACTGAGTGCGCATAAGTTCTGTCAATGAAAAACGCTATATTTTATTAGTGTCAAGAAAAAAAAGTAATAAAAAAGTAACGACTCGTTACGTTTCGAAGAACGATAACGAGTTACTTTTGCAAATCAATAACGAGTAACAATAACGAGTTACTTTTTAGGAAAAAAAACGGTAACGGTAACGAGTTATTTTTATGAAGTAACGTTGCCAATCCTGGTTATTATTAACGTTATTATTACCATTATATTTAATATTTATATTATTAAAATGAAATTATTATATGTGCTTTGAATTTCAACAAGTTTTACTCTTCGTTAATCTTTCATCACAAGATATAAATAGCTACCTTATTAATCTCTCGGTGCTATCTGTATTGCTTCTGAGTTTGCATTAAAAATATGAAATGTGAATAGACGTGCTTCAGGTTAAATTTAAATTAAATAAAATATATTCAAATGTAGAGTAATCTGTAGTTACCGGGACAGCTTTCCTGCAATAAAATGTATTCCTGATGCAGCATCGTCGGCGATGTCGGAGCGGAATTTCTGATCATCCGTCGGCATCATTTCGTCAATTTTAATCGACGATGGTTGCAATTCTTGTTGTGCGGCGGACAATTGTATGCCGGCTGTTGAAGGTTCAGGAGGTTCCTCGCGGTAGAGTTGTGCTGCGGCGGTATACGGGAGTTCCGCGGGGAATATTTCATCCCAATACTGATCACGTATGAGTTCAGGATGTTCGTGATGCATCTCGTCGACAATTAGATAGCTTACCTTAAAAACAAAAAATAACATTATTTTAGAATTTTAAGAGAGAAAAAAGTAAACGATGAGGAAGTAATTCTTACTTGCAAATTGCGATCAATTAACCAGTTTACTTCAAAGTCATCGTCGTCCTCGCCGAATGGATTGATTAACGTTTCGGCTACTTTCAACCAGCCCATATAGAAAAAAAATTGCAATGTTGCGAATACTGGGAAGTACAGATCTATGGTCGAGTCTGACTTTTGAACCCACTGACGACCCATCACGGTAGTCAAAAAGTATGTATAAACGGCTAATGTTACAACCTACAATAAAAATAGAATTTAGAATTCAGATGCGAAGAAAACAAACTGATATATAAACTACGTGATTCTTTTTATTTATTAAACATACTTTTACATTAAATATTTAATTATTCTGCCCGACTTCTCAAAATTTCTTACGACTATTGCTTTGCCTTCCGGAATTATTAATTTAAGTAGTCTCTATTTCTACCTGAGTATACACTAACGGTACGCTGATTGTGTCGTAGTGCGATATACTGCCGCACATCCCGCGGAACCTATTAAGTTCATCAATTAGAGTTTTCACCGCGAAATCGTCACGTATTCGACCTTCCTGTCGGGCTCGAGTCACGATACTGGAAGCCCAAACTATCGGCAGCCAATGTTTACTTGGCTTCGGGAATTTCGCATTTAGGCTTTGAAATATCGCTAATTCGTTGTCCAGCAACAAGCCGCTCTCCACGAGATGCTCTAGAGTAGGAAATCTCTTTTTTACACGCGGCGCGACGTTTGTTAGGACTATAGTCAGACAAACGCACACGTACCTGAAAGAAAGGAATTTTGTTTTTATTAGAGAAATTAAGGGAATACTGGAGTGACCAATTATCACATTACAGTCGTATAAAAATCTTCGAATTGACTGAACGGAATAAAAAATCCTTTTACAGGATTAAAGTAGACGCAAAATTAGGAGGTGGTGCAGATTAATGTGTATTAATCTATTAATCATTAAAGTATTAATGTGTATACTTTAATCCTGGAAAAGGATTTTCGAAAAGAGGAAAAGAGGAAAAAAGTAAATCCTTGCAAAGCACGTAATTTCGTTTTAGGAGAAATATTTTTTTCTACGCTTTGAATCTTAATTCCACAAACTCAGTATTGTTCGTTCAAGTAATCTAAATCCCGCCTCACGCTTATTTTCAATCTACAAACTGTAAAACTTTTATATCAAGCAAATGTTAACTTCAGGTGACAGTTGTACGTTGTTTTTATCAGAAAAAGTGAATTTTTTAATTTTTTTCCGATTTTCTCGTGAAATCGTATTTTTTTCGGGATTTCTTTTTATGCGTTCTTTAAGTCTGTAAAAAAATTTTGCAATCCGTGAAGCCAATTCAGAGATTTCTCCTAAAACATAATCACGGTAAAACAGGACGACTTTAGCATCCCCTTAAATCTAGTCGTAATTTACGGATGCTATAATTTTACATTTTGAGAGCGAGCGTGACACAGCAGACAGCGCACTGGTTCGCTATGCTAGAAATCCCGGGTTCGATTTCCGGCAGAACCAAAAATATTTATGCTCGTATCTCCTCTCGGAAGGCAATGGCAAACCACCGAGAGTATCTTTGCCAAGGGCACTTCTCTAATAAAAATTTCGTCGTTCGGAATCGACGTTAAACTGTAGGTCCCATATGACTGTACAATCAGCGTGCGCACCACAGGCATATGAGAGAAGTCACCACGCTCGGCCACAAGCAATAGGATATTTGAGATGATAACATTACATTGCACAAGGTACCTAACGATCGTTCGACGCATTAGACGGCCGCGTTCGTCGTTCCCATGTATAGTGGCTGATACGAAGACTGCGATGGAATCGGGCCATGGTATCGTCATGTATTGATTCCACCATCTGGTCATGACGATACTGACATAGAAACCTAGGACGAATGACAGTGGAATCAGGTCACTGTACTCGTTGCAATATGATACCACAGATTCAAATATCTTCTTTTGCTCCTCGTTCAATAATAATCGGTAAATACCGGAGAGGGAGTAGTAGATGAAGAGGAAGAGTGTCAGATCGAGCCAGACAAGTTTGTAAATGCTCGCTCGCCATCTGAAACAAAATCGCGCGACTCGTAAATTAGATGCAGACGCGAAACATCTGTCAAGGTGTGATAATTGTCTCGTAATAAGCGATCTCATCTATTTGCTAGGTAAGCGATTAATCTCAATAGCGACAATGCACTTTAAAATCTGATGATATATTAAAATCACAAAGCAATAAAACGCGATAACGTAACTTGTGTGCTATTATCGAGCTGAAAGTCAATAATCCTACTTCATATCTTGACTTATTTATATTATGAATGCTTCGCTGCTAGTAGCGACATTATGTTTGAGGTGTATTAACTTTGAATGACGAAGAGTGTTATATTTTTATACAAACACGTTAGAAATGTTCGCCACTTGTTACTTGCAATTGGAAGTATTCCAATCTATTCGCGGTATTATTCTCAGGAACGCGATCTATGTGAATATCATTGACATTTACAAACTCATGCATCAACTTTGTACATGAAACGATTAGTAAAACAAGAAAACATATAAATTATATCTATGTAAATTATAATTGCTGTTTCAATCGTGTAGAAGAAAAATAAAAAAAGAGTACAAAAAAGGAAATAAATCTAGAAAAATAAATATAGACAGCTGCAAAATTAACACATCGAGTGATAAAAATAGCATTATATTGAAAAATAAAAAATAAAAATTCAGGGATATATTAAAATACAGAAAAATAGAGATGAATAAAATAAAAAAGATTAATCGAATGATAAATCCAATAAAAGAAAAATGCAAAAAATAGCTCAAAATTTTTAATAAATATAATCTATTCCAGTTGACAATTAATCAATCTCTCAAATGCTAAAAAGTCAAAACTCACCTGAGTAATAACTTGAGGAAGCAACCGAGGCCCCTGCAAGTGGCTACCTCGGCAGTGTAAGAGACAGTCATCTTTTATCGAGCATGTGAATCGTGTCTCACGTGGTTACTATCTTTCTTATTTCTCCTCAACTCCAAGTGCTACGCTTGCACTTTCGCCGATAAAAAGGTTGTGACATCCCCCAAGAGAGTTTCGTCCTCTCGTCAAAATGGGATAACCAAATGCGACAACTAATGTCAGCTCCTCTTCGGCATCATCTCCGGTTTCGTTTCCTCGAAACAGCCAAGCTGACGGTCCACCGGTAAGAAATCCTCAAGGTCATCGTTTGTATGATTGAACCACCTGACGCGATTATATAATGTAAGCTATGCTGACAGAAACGGCACAAACTTATTAGCTCTAATATACGCACTTTTCGCGTTTCGCAAGAATCATTTCGGTCAATAGGACTATTGTTTAAAAAATCTATTTTCGTTTTGCCTCGCTCCTTCGTTTCGAAGGAAATGTACTTGGTATGTTCACCTTCTACAGCAATACGAAATGAACTAGGCGTATTCTCACGTGTATTCCTCGTCACGTTTAAATTTATTATGTGTTATCAGTGTTTTTTATCATACGTTATCAGAACTTGACAGGTTCGTAAATTTACAATAAAAGAGTTTCTTTTGATAATAGATGAATTCTCAAGAGTTATGAATTTAACTCGTTCGCGTGAAAATTTATTATCTCAGAGATAACTCGGAAGATTCTGGATTATCAGTTTCTCCGTTACCTCGTTGATACGATAGTTTCTTTCAAAACATAGATATTTATTTGTTGTAGGATATTAAGACTATATTTCTTAAGATTCTTCCGATATCTCGGAATAGCTTATATAATATTAAATTTAATTAATTTTCTAATTTTATCAGATTTCCTTTTTGTCAGGAATTAAACATCTCTTCGTTGCAATTTGTCATTTTCACGATATGTTTGAGGTCTCCTCAAAGCTAAACATTTAAGTAAACAACACAGACGAGGCTAACAGAAATTTGTTTGACATTTCTTGAAAAACGGATGGTTCGTACAATATTAAAGATCATCCGAACCAAGGACATCAAATGCGTGTATCAAACCATTTATCTGCAATTGTTGAGCTCCTCTAATTTTCCTCATTAAAAGATCAATGTTTCTTCGTGTATCTATCAAGCGCGAAGATTCCGATTCTTCGAATCGCTTGAGAATTTCCAATCTGTAAAAAACAGAAAAAATAGATGAGTTAAAACAGAATAAAAAGAGAAAGATATTCTATTAAAAATTGAATGTTTTTCGAAATTAATTTTGTTCTTTGAGTTATTAATCTTTCTGTCAATGCACCATTTTTCAGCTTTTTATTATCGAAACTTTTTAGTTAAATGTTATTTACCGAACTGAGATAATGTGTCTTAATTTATTCCGTGTAGTTTCATGTAAGTGAATTAAGAATTTTAATTAACATTGAAGTAATTTATTTCTATTGTTTTGATTCAGTTTCTTCATTTCTATATAGTGAACTTATCAGTCCAATGGAACATGTAATAATACAAACTTATGAGTGCAATTATGACAATCATGTAAGTTCGTCCGTTATACAGAATTTATTTACAATTGACATTAATAATATATATATTTAGTTTAAATAAAGTGATATTGTACAATACAGTAAACTTTCCAATTTGATGACCATGGCTGCGTTTCGTTATTCACTGTCAGTAATATGACGTCATAAAGTAGTACTGCAGAAGCGTTTTGAAATTACTAATAGTACTTTTATGACGTTACAACGTTACATAACGAAACGGATTTAATAGTACTTGGTAGGACTGTGTAGAAATAAATAATTTTTTAAATTTTAATAAAATTTGGAATTATTAATTATATTCATATCTTCGCCAGCCGCAGTAATAGAAGTAGGAAGTGACGCAAAAATTTATGACGTCATATAGATGGAAAAGTATATTGGAAGTGTACTGCGACATATATTGGAACGGTATGAGCAATGTTGCCAGTACTGACAGTGAATAACGAAACGCAGCCCATGATGCACTCGGACAATACCACAATAATTTTGTGGACATATGAGGTTTATTATTAAGTTTAAGCGCGTATTAATTTGTTAAGTTATTATATGTAATTAATTGTTAAAAACAGTGTATTGAAGAGGACCTTAACCGTAGGTCGAAACGTTTACTGTTCATTTATGTAACTAATTATTGTTCACATTAAAAATCTTGTGGTTGGCTCATATAGGCTTATAGGTTATTAAATTTGATTTATTCTTCTGAGCCTTGAATGTATTATATTTTTTATTATTGTGTTTCCCAAGCTTTTAAAAATATAAAAATAAAACCGAGATAAAATCTCTGCAAAACTGTTCATATTGTCACTCGAAAGCTGGGATTTTTAAAGCCTTATTCGATAAAATTCGCGTATAAAAATATAAAACTTTTTGTTTAAAATTCAATATCGGTGCCAGCATGCATTAAGAAAGATTAAACAATTAAATAATAAAAAGAGAATAAAATTTTAAAAAATTTTGAAAAATTTTAGTCGTTTTTTAGCAAGAACTAAAACACATCAAAATAAGTACGTTTTCATTTAACATTTAGCTGCATTGGTACTGTTAGTTCGTGACCGGCAAAGATCAATACGAATGATTCAGTAGAAGTATGTATATGTAGTTTACTCAGGGAAGAGGAATGTAGACATTTTTAACACAATTTTGTATTTTGCCATTCAAGCAATTCAATTCTTGTAATTAAGTAATTCGATTATTTTTAATCCATCTACATTTCTCGGAGAATTTCCGTATTTATCCTTCCAAATCTTACAATGCTCGTCTTTGTACACATATCGATATCACAAGGATATGTTACCACAAATGCGTTTTACATCATGCCAAGATACAGTCGGCACCGCGTGCTGGCGACCGTCATTCTTCATCGATCTTAGGAAATGTGACGAATTTCTGATTGACGTCATTGTAATATGCTTAATGATAACATCACGTAATCGCGCCTGATTAGTAATCAGTAATTTACTACACTCTCGGCGTGATACAGCTTCGCCGGTTAACACGTGGTTGTGCTAAAAGTGTGAAGCGCAAAACGAGAAAAAAATAAGTGGCAATTACAACGTAACGTTATTTACATTTAACGAAGGAAAATTGCCCCCAAGATAATTGCAGTCGATTCCAAGTTACATAAAACGAAGTATCTTATCGTACGCTTTAAATGTCGAGTTATTAGATATGCAGAGTCGTTCTCCACAAGTCATTTTAAATATCGACATTTTTTGCGGAATAAAATAAAAATTGTATTTTATGAAAAACTATTTTATGGCGAAAACGGAATGCACGTTGTACGCGACGGTCGCAAATGTGTCAGGCAATTTTTGACCTTGGACCTCGCGTGTAACGATAGCTATCACATAGACGCGATCGTAAAATTCATTATGCGACATATGAGTGTAACTTACTCAACTCAGCTGTTGCATTACATTTCCAGAGAAAATTATGTTAATTACAAAATTAATTAAAAATGTACCATAAACATTCTGATAAAATACCGATGTAGATCTGATGTAGATATCCGTGAAAAAAGACCGTACAATCATTTGCCTACAAATGATATATAGAAATTGTGAGAAACAAAGAAAAGGAAAGGGCAGGTGCGAAGATGCAGGTGAAAACGTTTCAAACTCTACTTGTCTACTTGCCTTCTGGATTTGATCGATTGCCACTCTCAAATTTGTAGAGATTAGTAAATGGAACGACACGACACGCGCGATTTCAGATCGGTATAAACAGCTGCGAGTTCGCGAGGGAACTTGCACGGTCGCGTTGTCACACGAACGATATCCAACACCGTCCAACACTAACAGTACCGAAGCAATAGCCGCAGCACGCCAACAGCATCCTCTACCTACTCTCCTCCTCGGGTCCATCCCCACCGTATTTCCGCATGAGTCAGTGGTGCTCATAGTTCATAGTCGTGTTTGCTGCCTTTGTGTACAACGCTGCTACATCAGCTGCATACGCCAGTCGATAGTCTGCACAACTTCGTTTACCGTTATCGATTATTATCCCATGAACGATCACGTAAACCCGGAGCAAAATCAATGCCGCGCGAACAACCATTGCATATTCGTAGTCCCTTGGAATTTCTAAAACTGCAAATGTTGAAGCCGAATATATTCTAAAAATTACTCTTTTTAAATATTTATTATTGACAATTTATTACTGATAACCGTCTTTTTTATCTTTTTGTTTTTATTTTAAAAAAATAGCTCTGTACACGTGGGAACTGTAAACATGGCATACAAATGCAAAGAAATTTTCTTGTTTGTTTTGATTTAGCTCGCCAAATTTACTGATGGATGAAATTTTATCGAGTATACATTTATACTCACATGCATTAGTTATGATGACAGATGATTAAATGTTTATACTAGGATGACAGGATAAAATAGCGATGGGTTAGCAAAAACGTTATGCAGACAAGTTGACAGTTGATTCTTTTTTTTTAATACTCTCCTTACATTGGTAAACGCACACAACAATAATTCGATCATTATCAAAATACAGATAGCACGAGTGCTGTGTTATCGGTATAACATTCAATATGCATTATCCAAATTAAAATTTCTACATCTCAATATTTTCTGTGGTATTACAATAGATGGTAACACAACAGTAAGTAAATCTCGTGTGTATCTTTACGTCATAATTTATATAAGGCGTTCCGTGTTAATCTCGAGAATCGACCGGAAATAGGAGAAACTCGACACGGTCGCGCTTCTTTAAGCATCCGCGCCCGCATCCTGCTATTCACGAATGACACGACGTTTGAAACGATAACTAAAAACTTACTTAAAAAATAAATCGATTTAATATATAAAATCTATTTCTCTCAACTATTATAAAATACATCTCGCGGAATATCTTATATATACACATTTGCATGCTTTGTATTCTTTTTACAACGTCTTTGTACATTTATTTTCGACATGAATAAACTAGAATTTAGTATATATGTCCGTCTGTCTCTAACGTTGGTCATCTTGAATACGGTCTGCTTGAAAGTAGAAGTTGCAGATGCGTGTTCGAGTGAAGTTCTAGATTGAAAAAAAATAAAGAGGAAATTACTTAAAGTAGCGCAGTATAGACTTTCACTCGAATCCGGTCTGTCTGATTCAATGCACAATTACAACGTACAGTCTTGGTCCCTAGAAATCACAGCCATTAAATGCAACGAACGATCTGAGATTTAAGGCCACTCGATTTTAAATCAGCCGCTATAACTTGAATTCGATAATGGCAATGTAATGTTAGCGTTATCGCGATATCGGTAACGAGGACGTTCCTACGGGCAAGCGATGACGCGTATTGCATCTCGAAGGAAGTTTTGATGCTCTTTAATAATCTGTATTGCATGATGATATTAACGAACACGAATTTTCACGTTCAATAGCACCATGATTAACTAGCTTTCATCTGGTATCTACAGCATTAAAACTACAATTTACAGAAAGCTAGGAAATCGTTAATTAGAAATAATTAAATATTATTAAGTTATTAGACAAGATTGTCAATGCAAAAGGCTTTCGGAGGTCAGAAGATTCTCCCTTAATCGATGAAGGAACGCATGACTTTTGAGGAGAATCGAGTCAGCGAAAAGTCATTCTCCCTTTTTCGGCGATCGATTGGTTTTTCCGGTTAATGAGATGGACACGCTTCATCTCTATCTGATTGTACCTGTCATGCGACAATAGTCGTGAGAGCGTTGCTTTTGCTTCCGTAGCTACTGGGTCTGCAATGAATAATTAATACATGAAGAGAGAGAGAGAGAGAGAGAGAGAGAACACAACATGAAACCCATAAATATTACTTAGAGTAATTAAGTAACGATGAATGTAAATGTGATGTACCTGATAGTAGCGTGTTGCGAGGAACGCGACCATCCAGCAATAAAATTAATTTCGCCCCTTTGACTGCTAATACGCTGCCGACGAACTTGACCGTCGCTTTTCGCGACGATTCGACGCGAGACAACGTGCATAGCATCTGGTGCGATACTGGATTGTATCGCCTTGTACATTAATCTTTTTCATAAAAAAAAAAAAGAATGCTATTGAATTTATTTATTAAAATTAACCGAATTATTAATTATTGATAAAGAAATAACAAAAGTTACATAAAATTATAATTTAATTCTTAAAAATTATACAGATATATCCAATATGATGCTATAATAATTCAATCGTATAAATGGAGTTTAGACTAACTAAAGCAAGACAGAAAATTTCAAATTGATTAAATACAAAAAACTAAAAATCCGGTAGTTTTATTTTTGTAGATTTGTGTGAAGTAATACTGCTCATACAATTACTATAATATAAAACAAGCTTACCTAGGCATTAAGGCAAGAACAGAAGTAAGTGCCACTGTCAGCCAGTATGTGATATGTGTAAAGGCCTGTTCCATTATCCAAAAAGACCCAGGTAGGCCCATGCAATTGACGCAAACAGCATTGTAAAATAAGCAAAATCCGAAGAAAATGCCCAAAGAACCGAAGATGGCACCAATATGGATTATAGTCTGAAATAAATATCGTTACTATGCGACATGTAACGTCTGTGACATTTTTGTCTTCTTTCTTACGTAGTTTACATCTTTATTTCTTCTTACTTACCCAAGACCTAGTTTCTATAGCAGCGTGAACTAGCATGACGACGATACACGCTGACATAATAGTCGTTCCAAATTCCCATATGTCAATAATCGAATCGTTATAAACCTGAAATATAACATGCGTTTATCATATAAAGTGATGATTACTTTCAGCGAGTTTAAAATGTTGTACCAACTTCTTTGGTAATAAAAAATATGACGACACTTTGGTAAAGAGCGTCCATGATCGTGAGCCAAAACGAATGCGACTGATACACTAGTCCTAGACGTCCCCTTGTATATAATTCCGGCGCTGCAAGTAATATACGAGCTTTAGCGACTCGATCGTAAATGCCTAAGGCGAGAGGCGGCAGCGAAGTAAACAGCAAATTGTACAGCATTAAATATATTTGGTCTATCATTACGGCACCAGAAAAGCCGCAAAATATCTGCGAGAAAAGAAAAAAAAACATAATTATAAGATATATAATAATAATTATAATAAAGATATATAATTATACACATTTATTTCTCATTTATTTTTATATTTTTCTCTTTACGTTTATATTCGATACTTGCTTGAAACCAGAATATAAGGAAGACAAAAGTAGCGTTCTTGTAAAAGAAGTATAAAATCATTCTAGCGAGACGGTCGTAACACCAGTGACCGTGTAGAAGGAGGAGCCTGCTCAGCATAGAAAATCGGGAAATCGCGAAATCGGCTGCCATTACTGCTTGCGTGCCTTCTTGCCCTGAGATACCGACGCCCACGTCGGCGGTCTGTATCATGCTAACGTCGTTCGCGCCATCACCAATTGCTAACGTCCTCATTCCCAATTGCTTTTTAACGATGCGGACTATGTATGCCTGCAACATAAAATGAATTATATTATTCTTCCTCATTATCATTCTAGTTATTAATTCGCAACTAGACTTTGTTTAATCGGTATTCATAGTCGGTTTTTATTTTGTGATTGTCCTATAAGTAATGTGTCTTAAGATGCTAAGAGCTTTACGTAAAAATGAAATACCCGGTATATAAGAATTGACTATGAATACCAACCATAGTTGATTTTTATATTTAAGACCGTTTTAAGTACAATGTTAAAATGTTATAAATTCATTACAGGTATTCATAGTTAGTTCTTATATTTAAAATGGTCTTAAATACAGTCTTGAGATATTATTTCGTTATTGTCAACGGATTACCTTTTGCAATGGCGTGGCGCGACAGGCTAAGACGCTAGAGCACATTTTCGTGAGCTCGAGGAACGGACCGGTTAAACCCGATCGCGGATCTAGGATCACGGTCAACGTCTTGCCGTCTACAACAAGCGCACGTTGTCGTGGCCACGGGCTGCCAATCCTATGCGCGTCTCTCTCGATGGAATCGCGGTTGTATATGCCAGCGGGATCCACGATGCCCATCATACTCGGCTGCGAATGACTGTTGTTTATGCGCTCTTTGCGCGCCGACTCCAGGTAACCATGTATAAGCGTCTCAGCTACGGATTTCGATCTCGCCTGCAGCTGCAGCAGCTGCATGGCCGGCGTGAAGAGCTGCGCCGAGTATGCCACGTTCACTGCGGTCTCTGGTTTGTCTCCTGAAACGGAAAACGAGACCGTGCTGACGTGGCACTCACATTAATGCGCGCTAATTACGTTCAAGAACACGGACTGGTTCCGAGGGATGTTTATTTTTCATTGGCTTTCGATACGTACGCCTCTGTAATTTTTTTTATCCATCGTCTTTATATAATAATATTTATGTAATAATGGATACGTGCAACGTTGGCTATGTGGGGGAAAATGCATTTACGATTCAATGCGAAACGCCTCGTGTATCTCTCTTTGAGATATTCGCACTAAAAGTAGTGCTCACCGATGTTAAACCGGTTTGTCGCGATTGTTCGCTGGCTCGCGGGTGAGTGATTTTCCACGAACCTGTCAGAACCCACACGACGATCCCGGCGGCGACTAAAGCGGCCATTGTTTCGGGCACACCGGCCTGGAGTTTATCCTCGATACCAGTCGCACCCAATAATGTCAAGTGCGACTCCAACATCGCGTACGAGTCGCGTATGCGATGCTCGCGATTCTCCGTTGCCAACTCCACCTCGTCGTGTTTCTGTCTCCACGTCTCATACTCTTGGGCTGTCAGTGTTTTCTTCGCTATCACCAACGTACGTAAACCTTGACGTGCGTACGATTGCAGGTGCTGTCGGATACTCGCTGAGGCGATGGTGTTCTCGTCGCTCGACGAAAGCGCCGGCAGTATCGTCGTGTCGGCACCCTTGCTATATAATATTATCTCGCCGGTATGAGGATGTCTGAGCAACACCGACATGCATTTCCTGTTCGAGTCAAACGGCAATACCTGCAAACGTTCGAAGAATGACAACGGTGAACCACTTACGTTCTCCTCGCCGTTTACATTTCTCACGAGCAACTTGTAACCACCTACATGAAGTATCTCGAATGCGACCGTTGACTTATCCGGGAAGGATATGATTGCGCTGCGGGGCGTCCGTTTCACTAGCTTGATGTCGTAAGCGCGTGCTGCGTGAACCAGTGCCAACTCGTCCGGGCTCTCCGCCTCGTAGATCGCTGGACTCTGTAGCAATTCGTCGCCGTTCTTCGCGTCAGGACTGCGTCCTGAAACCTTCTGTCCCTCCGGCGAAAATTTCCGTCCCAGCAATCCGATGCTCAGACTCGGTATCGATGTTACGTTCAGCAACTTTGGCCTACAAAGATATTGCTCCATTAAATACCATTGCGTCTTGAGCACTTCCGAGCTTTATACCAACCTGGAAATTTTAAATGGGAATTTCGAAGTATCGTCGAACGTATTTGCCGTGTTAATTACTGGCGAGACTGCAGATAAGGTGTGAACAGTTCTGTTGCTCGGAGATAGTGGTACCGGTGGAGAATTTACAGTCGGAAATGAGCTCGCATCTGCTTCCATTATTCTATTGATGTCAAGTTCGTGAAAAAAAATTCGTGATAAATGCGGTGATAGATCTGATCTTTCCATAGTTGCAAAAATAATCATATTTAATTTTTTTTTGTCCAAAAATTAAATCTGTCAGTATGTTTTTTGCATTCCTTCATTAATCTAATATGTACAAACCTCGTAGGGCCACTTCCGTTTTTCTGAGGTTCCTCGATGACTCCGCTAGAGTTCATACTATCGTGATGCGGTTGAGAATTTACGACTACCGTGTTACACGTGGCTAAGACAATAAGAAACTCCTGTAAGCGATGTCGAAATGTACCTATGAGCAGGTCCTCCTTAAGCCGCGAGCACGGAAGCAGATTCTCGTTGTCGCCTATATGCGAGTAATCCTGGCCGCCTACTGCGCATCTCCTAAATAGCATTTTGTTTTCCGTAAGAGTGCCAGTTTTGTCGGAAAAGACGTACTGTACCTGTCATTAAATAATAATATTCCAAGTATAATATTCATACCTTGTATATTATCTGCAAAATTTTTATGTTCAAAAAAACAATGCAAAGAAGTGTTGAGAATTATACATAACGATTCTAATATTAAATTAATTGAATTTACTAATATAAAAACGTTAAATATAAAATTCTTTTTTATATTTAATGTTTTTTATATTAGTTTTTTATGTTAGAAGTGTATTGTAATTTCAGGATATAAATAACTAATTTTTACTTTTTTCTCAAGAGATAAAATTTTCATAATATTGGTAAATTAATATCGTAAAACATTCACCCCGCACAAATTCATTTAACATAAATTGCCACACTCACTTGGCCTAGTTCCTCCGTGATATTCAGCGCGCGGCATTCCGCCTTACGGCCGGTTTCCGTGTCGTGGAGGACCGGGTCGTGGCCGATGTGGTACACCTGTCCCACCTTAGCCATCTCGATCGTCACGTACAGGCTCAGCGGTATCATCACTTGAAATATTATAACGAATGTCAGGAACGTCAGTAAGCTCTCGTAAATAGGCTCCTGCAGCACCGGCAAAAACGGCACCATCGACAAACCCGTATACGCGGACAGCCAGAATCGGCAACCGAAAGCGCCGATCACACATAATACCATCAGTATCACCACGCACCATTTTACGTCCCTGTTCATGTATCTCTCCAGACGAGAACGCTGAAATCACGGACACGTTGCATCTCAAAAAGGTATTTCTTCAATGTACATTATTTATTCAATCATTTTGATTATTCTAAAATTATCCCTGATAGAAATATATGCAGTTTTCCTAGATGACTGATCGAAAATTGCTGTCTCTAGTATTACTGTATTTTCACTAGTTGTAACAATATTGTATGGAAATGAGCAAGAACTTTAATAGAGGTTTATTCAGTAGTTGAAGCAGTTTTCCTATTAAAAATATGTGTAATTTGCAGACACTTGCCGAGTTATTGTTTTGTATTAATAGATATTATTATTAGTTAGATTATTATTGTACTAATAAAATAATAAAAAAGTTAAAATACTACGTACATACACCCAGAGAAAGGTTTCTTCAATTCAAAGAAATGTTTCTTTGATACGGTTAAAGAAATAATTTCTTTGATTTGAACATAATTTCTTGAAGTCAAATAAATTTTTTTATTTGATTTAAAAAGATAGTATTTAAATCAAAGAAATTATTTCTTTAACCGTATCAAAGAAACATTTCTTTGAATTGAAGAAACCTTTCTCTGGGTGTAATCTTTATTGTTTTTGTTCAGTAAATGGATTCCGATTTTGCACAAGAATTATAAGCAAATTACATCTTGATTGGGATATATATACTAAATAATTTTACTTCTCTCTTACTAAACAAAGTTAATATAAGTCCAGCTTAACTACACAAAAATTGCATGACATTTCTACCAAGGAGATACTTGTTTCGATTGGTATTTACCTTGTACCTAGGACCACCGTTGTTTAGTAACGCTTTGGTCTCATGACCGGCGTATATGACTATACCCTCGACGAAGTCGGTGTTTTTTAAGACGCATTCCCTGAGTAAAAGATTTTCCGTAGATACGGGCACCCTGCCGCCGTTTGGGTGTACCACGGCGCCATGAAACCTAACAGACGCGTCAGTGAGATCACTCTAGTAATCTAGTTAATTCTGTCCAAACGGCAAATTATCTGATAGTTCTGTTATCACGGCAAAAACAACATTGTGATGAGCGCGTTTCTCAGATAAATCGCAAAAATCTCGAGTCAAAGATTTACGGTAAAGATGTGAAAGACAAATGATAATTTATCTAAAAAAGCTCTTCGAAAATTGTTTAAAAATAGAAATAATTATTAATCTTAACGCAATAAATATTTACCTATATATTCTAGTACTTGGCTGATCGACTTCGACCACCGATCGGAACTTGGAAGGCTGGAAGGTATCCTGCAGATCGAGAAAACCCCGGACAACCTGGCGCTGCTTCAGATTCGATTCACCATCGAGGTTGCACGTATCAAGGTAAGCTAATCCCTGAGGATCACTGCTTCGTAAAAGCAAGAGATCGGCTGGTACAAGTTCGTTGTTCGAAAGGTGAACCAGGTCACCCACCTTGACATCCTTCCACGCTACCTTCATGTATCTGTCGCCCTCGCTACAATGAAATCATGAGAAATCTCGTCAAGATATATTGTCGTACTACTTTTAAGCATTACTTTTGAACGACACTGGAAATGTAATTGCATAAACGTGACGCGTAATTAAGTAATAATATAATTAAAAGGATCGCGCAATAAATAAATTAGGTACTCCTACATCTGCGACACTTTTTAATTTCGTCATCCGCAATTAAGCAAATTGCATTTTGCGACTTCGCAATAGAGATCTGATTGTACGCTCGATTGTATACGACGAAGAGACTGTGAATATTTTTTCTAATAAAGCACAGTCTTTTCTTTTAATGAACTGGACTTATCAGGTATGAAATATGCGTATCGTGTCAATATGTTCTATATACGCATAATTAATCAAATAACTTACACATATTGTTGTTTTATTAAATAGCATCAAATAAGAGTTAAACATCAATTTCTTCCGCCCTCAAAGTTGAATCGGCGAATGAAATTTTACATAAACATCTTACTTAAGTTGACGAAAGCAATCGACAAATCCTGTATTGCATAAAAGAACTCATAAGGCTACTCTGCTGTCGTCATCGCAAAAATGAACGTTTCGCATGGCTTCGAACGCAAATATTTGTTAAGATCGAAACGAACTCCGTCTGCACAGCGAAACGTATGCATTCAGCAATAGTATTATAATTATCATTTATCTACGGAAATGGAAAATTAATGAACCATCGTGAGTATTATCGTGAATAATAAACAGTACGATGAAAAATTAAAAAGTTAACGAAAAGTTCTTTGCCGATCATGTTTTGCTTCTTTGCTCTTTTTTTTTCATTTTAATTAAATATTGAAAATTTTTTTAACGTCATGAGATGTCAAATATTAAGGACATCACTCACAAAAACATAGCTGTAGAAAACATGTTATATTTTAATTGACTTTATATATCTAATAATCAAGCCAAAGATATTGATATACGAAATATTGATAGGTGAAACAAGTTGTGAAAGAGTCTCGTGAAAATATAATTTCCTATTATTCTCCGGTTCTCCTCGGTACGGAATCGCGATATAGATAGGCTTACAGGCGACCTTGCGTGGTTAATTTAAGAAAAATTTATCTCTCTCGAATACTCTTAGGATATGACGAAACAGCCGATTGACGATATTTCTTTAATTGAAACACATAGAGTGGCGGCATCCAAGGTTGTACAACCTTGAACGCCATCGTCACAGCCATTCTCGTGGATCATTTGATCGGAATGAAATTGAGACGACGGGACGGTCATTGGAGATGATCATCGAAATGAAATTGAGACCTTTGAGAACCACGGGTCCTCTCGTAAACGATATTGTTTCGACATTTAGACGCGGTAGATTCGCAACATATTAGTAAATAGGAGGAATTTATTTTGAGAACAAGAGAACATCGTGTATCTCTTTACAAGGTCATCTTATTAGACGAGACTAAATGATGCAAATTCTTTTGTATTCGCTTTGGAAGATAATAGAAAGAAAGACACCATTCTTGTGCCTTTGCATCGCTCACTTTTTCGCCACGTTTAGTATGTCATAAATCATTGTAAATGCATGCATTATGCATCCGCGTATCGCATCGGTGTCACGATTAGACGACATTTCCTTTTTGTCGTGGATTTGTATCGTTATGTACCTCGAAGAAGCAACGTGGGTATATACGATGTATATACGATGTATATATCATAAATAAATGAGCTAATTATGCAATTACATACGCAACATCTGTCTGATATCACAATTATCTCCATATACATAATACGGCGAAAAATCTAATGAATTCTATATAATTCGTCCGCGAATATAACACAATATTGCAAAAACAATGTCTACTAACAATAAGTGAACACAGATAAAATACATAACAGGTTTTTCTGCGGCATATTACGTAAGCAACGTAACTGCGTTCTAGCATACCATATTAAGCAGGGCTATTATAATTCGTCGTAATCATTTGTTTAATGATTCCTGAAATAAATTTGTTCATTTTTTCAAATGAATAATATTTTTTTGTAGTCGCACGTATTCAGACGATCAAACATACCGCGTATACTATATTATGTGTGCGTTATCGCCGGATGCATAATTTCAGGATAATAATTTTTAACTATACTATAATTGCAAGAGATAACAAGTCAAGGATAACTTAGCGGTTACTTATATTGCCATTATCAAAATTCACAGAACTTTTTGCAGGAAAAAATTTTAGATTTTTCAACTTAACATTTTCTTGGCATTCTTTTAACATCTGTTTCAACTTGAACTTCAAACGGTTACGATTCTAATACTTATGAAATTTTACTCTATGGTTATCTACAGTTAGTACACATCAGTTGCAAGTTCATTAATTTATTTGAAATTAATTTTTATTTGGAAATAATTCTACCATTTTTAAATCTAAGTATGACAATGGACACTCGAAATTAAAACAAAAATAATTCAATAAACAGACAAATGAGAGTAAACTGCGCGATGAAAGATTTAACCTTTAACCGCGTAATTTACTCTCATTTGCCTGTTTATTGAATTATTTTTGTTTTACCATTTTTTATGTCCATATTTGAATATTTTTGCGAAAAATCCTCCAAATTAAAAAGGAACATTAAATTACAATTTCTTTAAAATTAAATAAAAACTAAAAACATATACTTTATTAATTTAAAACTTAATAATTCAAAATAAGGAAAATAAGATACTTTTGTAAAAAAAAAAAATCATTCCGACTAATTGAAAGAAATCATAGGAAATCTGCATATCGTTTCATCAAATATGTTACAAAATGAAGTACAAATTATTTGTAGTCAAACGTTAATAATTATGCTTTTTACGCTGAATTGTTCGTAGAAAAAGTTTCCTACAGAATGTCTCTATATACGAATCTATTAGTTACTCGTCGATATTTCAGGATCTTAAGCGCGTTTCGGAGAAACGATATAGTTATAGAATACGCAAACGCGTACAAGCATTATATACGTTTACACCCGCATCGCATGACGCAATTGGTGACATCATTCGCCGGTTTAACGGCATTCAGAAAGTTCTGAAAAAGGAAAAAAAAATGGGCTGAATGTACACCTTTCTGTCTCGAGTGTATCCCAAATTTGTTTAAAACGAAATTCTTTTTATAATGTCATAACATGTTGTAACGGAAGAACATTGTATATTGAATAACATTTGAAAGTTTGTGAACGGTACGTCGGTTTCGTCGGCGAGTCCCGTGGGAAAGGAGGCTTCTAAAGTGAGATACTGAGTAGGCGGTCTTACGGCTTCGGATTTAAGAGAAGTTTTAATGCAATAGCATATCCAGTGGCTATCATAACAACGAAACTATCGACGAAGGTCAATGTATGTTTCACACAATCGATGTCAAAGGGCGAGGCAAGTGCGATGGATCAACAGCTCGTATATACGAAACTTGCAACATTTTTTCCGTATAACCTGAGAAACTTTTGTTTTACTTATAATCTTAACAGTAGTGCTGCAAAATAAGTTTAATTAAACAATTATAAATGAAAAAAGACAGTTTTTTTTTCGAATTATTGTAGATGCTAATGAAATCGAAACAAAAATTGATTCTGTTCCTCAATTCATGGACATTTATAAAATAAGACAGAAAGCATTTATTGAGATCTGACAAGACTACATAAAACGCGGAGTTGAATTTTAATTAAATACAGATCATAAGTAGCACTTTCGCTTAGCTGCCGCGCCTTGGCAAATAATGATACAGTCTGTTGCTAAAAATTTAGAACAAGCTACGTGAACGAAGAAAGGAATTAAATCCCACATTAAATTATTTAAACCAATTAATTAAACAAACTGAAATAAGAAAAAATTGATTTCGTGACTTAAAAAAGTTCTACAGTTCCATCAAAATTGTACGCATACATATGCATGTGCATTCCCGAAAAATGTTGACATATGTCTTCCTCAGAGCTTTGAAAGAGGAGGCGCGTAATTACAATAAAAAAAATATGTCGCGGTAGACTCTAACAAGCGGAATCGAAAGATTGTAAGGCTCGCGCTATACGAAACGAGATAAAAAGGGGTAATGGCAGTAAATGCGAATGTCAAGGCCTTCAGCGCACGAGATCAGAATCGACCTGGCCGTGAGTGTAAGAGGAAAAGAGAGCGAGTTGCTCGCACTATTATGCGGATACGTTGCGTTTAGAAAACGATAGAGTTGAATGATTAGCGAGCGCGTATAGTCACGACTGAAAGAATCGCCGCCGCCGAGAGTCGCCAATGTTATTTTGAATCGATCGTCCTTTCCGATAGAGAACACGCAAATGCATCGGCAGATAGTGTATCGCGCCTGCATCAAAGATCTGTATAATATTCGCAACATAGTGATTAGAATATTTTCTTCTGTGTCGACACGGGTAAACATGTAAATATTTTATCTCATTGCCATGATAACATGGTTTTTTTATCGTAGCGATAAAAAAAAAGAAATCCTAAATCAAGACTACCATACAAATTATAGAACGATTTTGTATGACGAGCATGATCGAGAATGTGAATTAATATTGAAAGGGAATTGACGTGTATAGGATGTAACGAGACTCGTCGAAGGGCAAGGTCGCCTGGCGAAATCCAGAGAGACGTCGTATCGGAATTGCCAGGTCATCGATCAATTTTCCGATTACGTTACATTATGAACGAGGGTTCGTGACGATCACGGAACTACCCACGTTCGCAAGAACGATCAAAACGACGAGCGAACGATTAGGCAGACCAACGGCAATTGAATCACAATTATAATTATATGAGACTGAATAAAAATCTATGTTGGTCTTCATATAGATGTAAAAATTAAGAATATATTTTTAGATCAGAAGTAATTATCTTTATTTATTCTCGATGTTTTCGAGGATCTCAATTTTTCCTCAATTTACATCGATATAAAGGACCCCGCTCTAATTGTGTGGGTCCGGTGAAATGAGTTATAGCGAATTCGATTGGGCGCACAAATGCATAGATATTAAACGCCGTTGTACACACCGAAAAAAATGCATGTAATTTTACATGGAAATTACATGTATATGACTGGAAAATTATCTAAATTACATAAATATGCTTGGAAATTTACTTTATATACTGGAAATTGTAAATTTCCAATCATATTTAGGCAATTTTTCATGAACATGTAATTTCCATGTAAAATTACATGCATTTTTTTTCAGTGTACTGATTTCATTTTAGTGTAAAAGTGAAATGCAAATATTTAAAATTATAAAATACACATTTTTTTCTAACAACGCAATAAAATGAATAGAAGATTTGGCCGTTTAATCCGTTTCTATATTTATATAAAATATATAAATATATTATATATATTTAAATACACATTTTTACGACAATCTGTGTACGGCGGTTTTAATGTGCACCAGTGCACACTGAGTGCGTCCAATTCGCTATTAGTTTTCACATATAATGTAGCTTCTAATGTAATGAAAATATTATATATACAAGGCTCAATAATGATTAGTTTTTAAAACTATCATCATATATCAAAGAATTCGAGCTATCATGTATCAAAGAGAATGGATTAGAGCGGCAGTCTAATGGTAAAGCGCCAAACTTATAATACGGAGAACCCGCGTTCAAGTTCACCCGATCACTTTATCCTAAGCTGTGCTCACTATATATTGAGTAAAGAATGAGGATTCATGTATAATGGAAAACTGGGCTCCGTCTTCTCGGAAGAGACATTAAACTTGCGTTAGAAACGCAGATGCAAGACAGTAGGATGTCGACTGCGCGAGGATCAACGATTAGTCGATTCCATTGATATGTTATGCACTCGGAATAAGAATTGATGTCAAAAGGAGAGTTCTTATCTGACAAGCCTATCGAGGAGGTGATATGTTATTCAAACGTTAGATTCTTGTATATAGTTTCTTACTGCAAGTTTGTGCCACTAAAAGCCCACCGTTTGCTTGCTATAAGTTTACAAACGGCTTCAAACGTTTGACTGTATAGTGCCATACAGAGCTTCATCGAGTATTATTCTTTCTTAACTGAGAAACGTTCAAAGCAGTTTGTGAATTTATAGCAAACAAACTATGGGCTCTTATTAGCACAAACTCATGCAGTAAGAAACTACAAGAATGGTATATCACCTCTTTGACGGACTTGTTAGGTAAGCTTTTGAACTCCTCCATCGATATCAATTCTTGTCCCGAGTATATAACATATCAATGGAGATCTACTAGGAAAGGATGTTTTTAATGTATTAAACTTTAAAAATATACTTGACGGGAGACGCTATCGTGTCTCCTAATACTCAATGAAAAGCTCATGTAATAAGAAATTACAAGAGTCTAGCGTTTGAAGCAGTTTGTGGACTTGTAGAGAGCAAACGATGGGCTTTCGCTAGCATGCTTATACAAAAACCTAACTTATTTGGTACGGTGAATTTAATTTTCACAACAACGTGGTAAACAAAAGATGTCATAATGCAAGGCTTAATAATGGATAGTTTTTGAACTATAGTGTATCAAAAACTGACCATTATTGAGCCTTGTATTTATAACATCTTTTGTTTACACCACATTATATGTGAAAATTAAATTCACCAGGATCCATTTATCATACAATTAATATAGACCCCGTGTTAATTAATTATTTGAAAAATTGTTGGGTCCACCATATAATTAATGCGCGGTCTTTATAAGTTATCAATTTTTTCTCTGTTATCTCATAAAAGTCTTCTTAAATAATCAAAGTGCAGACCGTAATAACAATAATCTATACGTCTAATTACTCACGTCTAATTAAATTGCCTTTTTTATAAAAAATGTAAATCGCGAGATTTTACCTCGATGTGGAAGAGGATTCAAATTAACGTTATTAGATCTAGTCATTCTCAAAATTGTTGCAAGTCACGAGACGATATTTCGGAGTTCGTTCCCCCCTGATTCGACTATGTTGCTATGTAATCCAGCCGTCCAAGCCGTCCTCGCGTTGCGCTGCAACCAACCACGTGGCATGCGTACATACGCGTTTATCGGCGCAAGCGTATAATCGGCCAGTCGTGGCTAGAGAACTCTAGCCGTGGCGAATTTATCTGATTCGATCGCGTGTGCAACAACCTCTGTTTTCGTTTGTCAAGCATTTTCGGATGCATAAGCGGAAACGAGCGGCATGCGTTCGGATGACGAATAGCGAATGTCGACGCGCGATGTCGATAACGCGTTATCCAAACTGTCTTCTTAACCGTTGTTCGTGAAGATAATAATCCCGTTGTAGTCGTTGCGAGACACGTCTATCGGAATTAAACGTAAACAATGTTGACGCGACGTTGAACGAATTAGAACATCGTATCGTGTGTTGCGTGCGCCGTACGCGGACGTATGCTGCGGGAAAAGAACGGTACGGGACACTTTCTTCACCATGTTCGACCGCAATGTATGGCAACCGTTCGCTCGCGCGCATTCGCGTTTACATGTGACCTACATATCTGGAATTGTCGGTCTTATTGGAATCGATCTATCGGATTCCGTTGCCGCAAGGATTCTAACTGAAGCGACGGCTCGTACGGCAATACGAGCAAGGATAAATGAGCGCAAGGCCGATATCAATTGAAAAATTAAATGTCCTTGTTCAACTTTTTATTCAACGTGAAGCTTCCTCGTATACATAGAATAATAATTCATTATTAGAAATAAAACTGAAGCTTTTTCGGTGTTCGGTTATTATTACTTCGTTATATTTAGATTTCACATTCTTCTAATATCTTTCCCAACAAACGTATTAACGTTCTATGTATTTCATCGATATTCGTTAACGTTTCTTATCGAACTTCACGTATAGTTTGCAAATGCAAATAGACACGTAACGTTACATCGGCTCTTTTTATTTGTAAAACTTGAGTTATCTCTACACGCTTTTCCACGGAAGTTCTGGGGGGCAGGGGGACAAGGGGCTTGTACGATCCGTACGCTATACTTTGCTGTATACAACTACAATATTGCACTCACCTAACGTAGACACGGCAGGTGGAATTGTTCACACGCCGGTCACTGGCGAGTCGTCGGCGATCTTCGAAGAAGTCCTTAAGCGCCGTGACGCCCAGAACGAATACTACGGGGATCATCGCAATCTCCTTGCCAAACGCGTTTATAGCCGGCACCCAATTAAGCAGCACGATGAAAATGAAGTACAGATTGGCCACACGGTGGAATTGCTCTAGCAAATTACGAGGTAGGAAGCTCAGCGCTGTGTACTTCGTTGTGCGTACCCTGAAGAAGAAATGAGCACGCGGAAAACGCGTGTGAGACAACGGACCGTCCACGTCTGATTCAGAGATCCTGTAACTGACTGTAACAGATTCTGGCCACGAGACGACAAATCAATTAAGAAAAATAAACTTATTTTTTATCAAAACGGATCTTTTAGTGCTTAATTATTTCAGAGTGAATTTATAAATTATACAACCCTGTAAACTAAAATCTTTTTAGATTTTAAAACGCAATCATGAACAGAACTAGAGTAGTAATATCACTTGACAATTTAATAATTTTTTATGCTGATAAGCAATTAGAAGGATAATTTATTAATAATTTGTCGACTACAGTAAGTTAGAATGAGTAAGATAAGAGTATAAGTTAGAATATAAGATAACATGTAGGGTAACTCCTGCAAATACGCCGCGCTGGGATTTACATTAGTATTGTGTCATGATTTCAGCTTCCTGTTAATATTAATGAAATTATTGTGAGTTGAATCGATTTGTCACTGTAATAAGTAGCGCCATCATAAGTTATAATCTACATAAAACGATTACTGTAGGGCGTGTAAAAGACTTAATTATATACATGTAAAGGAATAGTAAAGCATGTTGTATAGCAAAATACAAGTGCTTTGCTTTCGTATTCTTTGTTTAGTTTGTTGTCTTGTATATCCCACCTGTTTGGGATATACGGCATTTTTAGCGGGCGGGATTTATGCCCAAAGCATACAAAGTGCGCAAATTGAATTCAATGCACTAAATGCAATAAACGCATTACATGAAACATGTACCTCATAACACTTCTAATATATGTAGGAAGATTCTAATTATTATTTATTACTTCATATACATATTTATTATTCTTATTCCTTAATAAAACTTTATAAACGCATTTTATAAGTTATTGTGTCATTTTACGTCTTATTTATGTGCATTGTTTGTAAATTTTTCATGAGCCGTACATACCTCCCTTCCACCTATGAGTAGCCCAGTAGTAGAGTATATCCCACCCCTATGGGATATACGGCAAAAATGCAAAGGCAAAAAGTTCATTTCTTAATACGAAAAATAAATATATAGTATGTATTTCGGATTTCTAATATTTTTTTCATAGTAGTAGACAATATAAAGTTTTTACTGATATAGTTCATTTACTTTAAACATAGTAAATAATACTTAATAAATTAAGTTTTTGATAGGTGCGGCGTATATTTACCCTATAAAGTTACGCTATAAAAAGAGACAGTATATGTACTCTTTTTTTAAACTCTTGTTTTAACAAAATTGCTCGTGGCCAGTACTGTTATAGGGCATAGACATATAAGATAGACCCAGAATTAGCTATATGTACCTGGGTTTGGCAGAACGGTGCGAGAGGCAAAATACAGATGACAGTAAATTTACTTTAATAATACTCAAGAATTCTATTCTTATCTATTCTATATCCTTCTTCATCGATTTTGACGAAATTAGGCTCATTCGATATGTTTTTGCACGAAATGAACGTGGCAAAGAAAAGTGCGACGCTCTGCCCCGTAGACCGAGATATTAATCGTTGAAGTGAACGACTATTCAGATTAGGAAACATTCTGTCACATCGATGGCATAGACATGAGAACATGTAAGTAAGGCTAGAATAAATATTTTCTGTTTTAATTTCATCAAAATCGGTGAGGAAGATAGAATTCTTGAATATTATTCTTTTATATCTTATTTTATTTTATTTTTTTTTTCAGTAATACAAATGTCAAGATGCGCGCATAGAGAAGGATAGGTTGCCCCGATATTTTGCCTCTCGCACCGTTCTGCCAAATCCAGCACATACTATAGAAAAGTATATGGATGCTGGGTCTATCTTATATGTCTATGTTATAGGGTCTCTAGTCCGAATGGACCATACACATCTTTCTTGTCTCGTTATTCTCACCTATTGTCCATTCTATCTCCATTGGGATGCTGTCTCTTCGGAGTCTTCGGGGGGACTAAATGATTCGGCACTATTGTTCTTAAACGGGGTTCTTCTGGCAGCGGGCCAAAACAATAGGCCCATAGTCTTCTCCACCATGGAGGCGCGACACTACGTCTTATCGTATAGATAGACTCCGATCTGTAAACAGTTGCGAAATTTACCTTTAGCACTTTACTTTCTACGAACTGTGCATAAAATATATTACCTTCTGTAAAAAAGAAATCATAATTCTTAGGAATTTAAAAATGTTCTCAGTTTCGCGCGTTCATCAAATTCATAATTTTGTTCGATATTTTATGACAAACCATTCATTGTCAGTATTAATATTATCGGTGAAAAATATAAATTACGAATATATATTTTTATCAAATGATCATACAACGTATCAAAATTTTAATTATTGATCAAAGATCAAATTATATTTTTTATTTTATTACTTCCGATAATTTTTCAAATATCTCTGGTTACATCAAATTAGTAAAATTGTTTGTTTTTCTTATAATATGAAGTGTCTCTCAAAGTTTTATATTTATTATTGGTTATACTTATATACCAATTATTTATCGAGAAAGCATAGAAAATATAGAATATATAGATAGATAAAGACTATTTACAGAATAACGTAACAGTTACATAAACTTTAAAGATAAAGCCGATATAAAAATGAATCTTATTTTTAAAATAATTATCAATATGGCTCAATCAGAATAAATCAATAGTTAAAAGAAGGGCTACGAGCCAGTTATAACATAAAGAATATTTAATAACCTTTCATACATACAAACGTTTCGACACCGATCATTTTCAATGTAAAACAACAAACAATCTTACATAAATTATCGGAAAATTCAGTCAAATTATAATGTCCAGTAAAACTGGACAAAATGATAATTTATGTAAGATTGTTTGTTGTTTTACATTGAAAATGACCCGATCGGTGTCGAAACGTTTGTATGAAAGGTTATTAAATATTCTTTATGTTATAACTGGCTCGTAGCCCTTCTTTTAACTATTGACTTATTTTTAAATCTCTTTAAATTTTATGTGTAATTGTAATGCAAATTTTGTAAATTATTATTTATCTATTACTATCTGTCTATCTTATTAACGCACTGTTATTTTGTTAGCCGATAATTAATCTTTATCATTCAGAACAATGATAAATCATGTTCTCTCTTACTTCGTACCTGGACGCTTGACGGGAATGTCCGCGAAAGGAAGGCATCCTGCCGGCAGTAGGCGGTCTGCCATCCTCCCTGTGGCCTGGTGGTAGGATAAAATCTGTTCTGGAGCCAACACGATGGTGTCCCGTTACGGCTGGTTGGTTCTGCGTTACATCCGCCACCTGACCCTGACTGAAGGCTCTCTGGTGGCCCGGCTTCTTTAATGCCGACGGTCGACCCGCAGATGTGGCGCTTCCTACCGTCGTCAATGGACCCAGGAAGGACCCGTAGGTCTGCCATTCGGTTGTACCATCCGCCAGGATACCACCGTGGCTCGCCGATCTCGCGTGGGTTTTCGGAAAAGCTTTCCTCCTGGCCGGAGAGCTGACTTCCTCTAATGCATCCTCGTCCTCGTCGCCGTTGCTGTTTTTTGACGTGTTTGTCGTCGTTGTGATGCTGGTCGTCATTGTCGTGCTCGCCGTGGTCGAACCACCGTGGAGGAACGGCAAAGGAGGTGGCTGGAGAGGTGCCGTCGAAATCGACGACGAAGACGACGATGACGTCGTCACGCAGCTGGGGCGACCCGCACCCGGAAACACGTAGAGAGACCCCTGTCTCTCGATCTCCTCGGTGGCTGCTTCCTGCGCGTCGTCCTCGGACATGCTGGCACATCTATGCACATATGCGATGTAGAAAAAAAATTCCGTGTAAACCTTACGAAACAATAAGTGCAGAGTAAACTCTGCGAAAACCGGTTGAGTCTCTCAAAACTTTTAACAATGTCCTCGAATATTCTTATGATTTATTTTTATATAGCTATAATTGTTAATTAATGAGAGAAATATAACAAAGAGGAGATTTTCAATGGAGACAGTGATTATCAAATAACATATAGATAATATTTTATTTTTTATGTATTTTAGAAATTATAAGGACTTTTCATATTTACAATTTTATATACATAGCTTCTATGAACTATAATGTATTCTATAAACTATAATATAAGTTTTAAATTTATGAAGTTTTTTAAAACTTTATAAATCTATTATATATATATATACTAGTATATAATATGTATATATACTAGTGGTAAATGTTCCGATTAGGGGACCCCCCCCAATGACCTTGACCTTAATGCTCTCACCTTCGACTCTCACCCCTGCTCCTCCCCCTGCATCGTAATAGTGACCTTTCCATTGCTTAAATGTAAGCAAAATAAACCGAGGAATAAATAGACTTGTACATGTGAATGTTTAACGAGCGTGGAAATCGTGCGCCCCTTTGCAAGGGGGAGGAAGGTACCACCAAGAAGGGTGTTAGAGAACATTTTGGCCCTCGCATGACCACATATCTGAACGTGAAATTTTCCGCTCTTTTCATTTCCGGAGAAAGAAATTGGGGTTTCCATTTAAAAATCTCGATTTGACCTTGAAATGACCTTTAAACTTGACCCCAAAGTCAAGGACAAGGTCACCACTGGTTGACCCCCTTTGATCCCTGCAACTTTTGTCTGAAACATTTTTTCGATAAACGCCTTCTTTTTGAGATAATCGCGTGGAAGTTTTAAAATGGGACATGTATATATATATATATATGTATATATTGTTAATGAGAATAAGATATTTTTGAGGATTATATATATATATATATTTGAGTTCTGAAGCATTTTGCAATATTTAGAATTTAGGACTTGCATAGTTTCTGAACTCTGTGTCGAATTATTGATAAATGATAGAAATACTATTGACATCAAATAGAATAACTTTCGTGCGAAGAATTATCGTAAGTAATCGATTGTAGGGTCTAATCCGCGATGTATATCCGCCACACCTTTATCCACAACTATAGATGAAATTGTATCATCAGAATTTGCGGAATCGATTCGAGAGCAGGTATTCAATCTTCTTCGATAGCACTAGGAAGATAATTCGTCTTCGCATTCTTGTTCCGATAATAAATACGCTTTTTAAGCGCAATCGTTTGATTTGAAATTCGTTCGTTGATATTCTCGCCAGGCGTTTGCTTATTTCCGCGAAATAATTTACGACGAATCATTCGCGCTTGTACGTATCCGGAATAATATGGAATAACAATCGTACGTGCATTTTATCGCGTGTGCCTTCCAAACAGAAAAAGCAAATACAATTGCATTTGACGCAATCGTGCAGTGGTATACTGATACAGAGTTATACCGCGGCACGTTGCTGTAAATAAAAAAATTGACATTTTAAACATATTAAAAACGTCGAAATTAATTAAGTCATTTTTTTCATATATTTTTTAATATTGATATATAATTCGTAATTTATTTTTATACATATACATTCTATATTTTTAAAGAATGAATATATGTTATTTCAGACGACATTGAGGTTCGCTATCGGGTTTAATATGAAAACGATAACAAAATTTTATCTAAGCTTTGTATCAGCGTGAGCATGGAAATATTGATAGCCAATAGCCTTATCAAAAATAAACGTGGAAAATTGGCACATTATAATATTTGTACGAAAATAAACGTCATCGTTTTCTGCTCTGTTCACTTTTTCATGTACCTATATACAGAATTGATAAAAAACATATTTTAAAGTATGTTTGAGCATGTTTCTTTTAATACTATTTAAAACATGTTCAAAATATTAAAAATATATTTAAAAACAAAACACAATGTTATATTTAAAAAAAATATTTCCTTTCACCAACCCTGCTCATATATCATAATCAGATGTTATGTATCCATGTGTCTCGCACGTTTATCGAACTTGTATTAATAATTAACTAAATCGATCTTTTATAATTGGGGGGGACAAACGTTCCTGCATAAGTTCGTTATGGATTACATTAATTATTCATCGACTTTTGCTTGATTTATTATTTAGTAATGTAGTACGACAATATTTGACAATTTCCAGATAATTGGCAACTGTATGTACAAGACTATGTGACAATATTGCAGCATAATCAAAAACAAGTGTTCTAAAATTTCGTTTATTCGTTCTAAAATCGAAATCCGAAACCGAATATTACCGAGACTTATGATTTACCAGCGTTATGATATTAAGGAATTTCGTATCTTTCTTATCGGATAAAAAAAAGATAGGGAATCATTCGATAAAACGCGAATCATAGAAAGTGCCATGTCTATATAACGTTTATCGGATATCCTGTTTATTCTGTGTAGATAGCCAAAGTAAACTATCTTTGCAAAAAAATGCAGTGCATGAATGCATTAGTCCGAGAGAAAATTCTTTGCGTCAAACAGGAAGCAGGAATTTAGAACGCTCTCAGAAATACCGCGTTATTTTCAGATACTATTTCGAAATCCCAGTACGTCATTCAGAGATTAATCTTAATAGCCCCTCACTCAAAAATCGAAGTATAGTACCTTTTGAAGGACAGATTCAAAGCTCGCGTGCAGCATTTATCATTAAAATAAAATGAAATTAGTCAGATAGGTATACTGTATATGAAAAAGAGTATTGCCAAACAACGCTTATCGTTCATTTGCACGACTGCGACTGCGTACAAAAATACACTCATCGTCTGATGTATTTGCTAATAATTCTGATGGGCGTTCGATATACTGCGATTTTAAAACAAAGAATAGGCTATATTTTTCTTTCTTATTTCTTATTAACATTAAAGATCTTAAATAACTCTTTGATATTGAACAACTGCAGCGCGAGAATAGCATTTAAATTAATGCGACTGATGAGCTTAGATATATGGTAGATACCTACGTAGAAATATAGAACGAGCTAGTTTCAATTAATAATACGGACACTGTCCATTTCGATCTTAGATTTTATTTTTATTATTAATGTTGATTTTTATCTTGATCATCTACCTTTCAAGGTGCAACTGGCTTATTTTTCAAAGCCTTGACGTATCAACATATGTGTGTAAATATACTTAATATGATAGGTTAGTCAATATATAAGTAACCTTAATTTTGCCCTCAACGATCAAGGTAATAAAAATTAAGGTTACTTATTGATTCATCTATGTATATAATACAATATATGTATAGTGAAAGCTAAAAATTTTCCACGATTAAAAATACCTTACTTAATACGACATAATAAAAACTTACAATTTTCCATGATTGAAACATTACGTAATCTTGCAGATATATCTAAAAATATATTTCAGAGAAACTGATTTTTTATCGTTTCGATTTAGCAACATCTAACTTGCATTATTTTTATTATGTTTACCGGGGCTTTAATTCGCGCTCGGACGCGTGTAGCATCTAATTCGAGTTCGAAGAAGCGCGGGGGGGCGGAATGCGTGTCACGGGTCGCTCCATCGTGCGTACACGCGTGCATGCGCTAATGAGTGCAATCGCGCGGTCGCGTGTGCGTGCAATGCGACGAACGAGATTCCAGTGTACGATCGATGGTGCGCAGGTTACCCTTCTATTTGCGCGTGAATCGCTACCGGCCGAATGTAAACGAAGTATCAAGGGTAGAAAAAAAATCGAGCGACTAAATTGGGTCACCCGTTTACTCACGAGCGCCTCCTTTAATCACGCTTTATCGCGCCATTTGGTGTCATTAGGATGATTGGAATAATCGTTAAAGAAAATTGCGATATCGCCTCCTATTGATCATCGAGACTCATCTGGATTATTCGAGATTAATCTTTCGAAATCGTGCTGTCAAAGAAATAACAGTTGTTTTAGTACGCTTATTGTCGATAATACTCATCGATCAAAATTTTCCGCAGTATACGAACCTAATCGAGAAAAAAATGTTTCACCTTTTTTTGATAATTCCGAACGTTTTAAAAGAGGCATTAATAATTGATAGCATTTTTTAGGTAATCTAAATTTCTTTGAGAAAAGAACTCTTTTGAAGTATCTCGTTTAAAGATTCTTTTTCAAAAAAGCAACTTCAAAAAGTTATTTTCTCAGAAAAAAAAAAACAGATTACCAAAGAATTTAAATGGAAGTTGGTAAAGTCGTTTCGAAAAGGAAATCTTAGATCAAAGATCAGAGATTCACAGTTTGTTTATTTTTCACGACTTTGATATCACGATATTTAACGTGATAATATGAGGAAATTTATCCGTGCTTTTTTCCCAGTTAACGCAAGAGTGGCTTCTCTGATCGGCGTCGAAATAAACGCAACGGGTGTAATAGAATCTCTTTCTCTCTCTCTCTTTCTCTCTTTCTTACTACTGTGAAACATAACGGAAACCAGATGGAATCCCTAAAACATATCCCGTAATACGCCAGAATAATGTATTTTACTTAAATTGCGTTTGCGCTTTGGCGTGAAATATTACTACCACAAACTCGATGAATTATATAACACATTCGGACTACCTAAATAAAACTAATGACTTTTGAGAAGTTTGAACTAATATGTAGTCGTTAAGTTTAGACCAAACTCATAATTCTTACTTTATACTTTATTAATCCGTAACTTATGGATCTTACAAGGGAAGTTTCACAACTGTCCGGAATCGATTTGATTCTCCATGAAATATGTTGTTAAACACGAAAATCTAAGAGACACGTATTTTTTTATACGTGCGTATAAAATTAAAAAAAATTTTTTTGTTAACAATTGTTAAACAAAAAATTAAAAAAATTTTTTTTCTTCACAACATTGAAGTACTCTTGAAACAGTATAACTTTTGTTTAAACAATTTTTTTCCATCTTTTATATTTCCGACGGTATTCGGCTCGAAATAGAAATATCGTTTTTTTTTTCAAAGGGGTGTTTCACCCCTTAAACATGAGTTAGCGCACGTATAAAAAAATACGTGTCTCTCTCTCTCTTAGATTTTCGTGTTTAACAACATACTTCATGGAGAATCAAATCGGTTCCGGACAGTTGTGAAACTTCCCTTATTAGTGACCCTCGGACATTTTCCTAATTTTTAGATAATGATTTGTAATGAATTGGAATCGTTTTATGTTTCACAATCTTATTTTTCACCCCTTTGTTCTATTTATATAAACTAATTATTGTACTATATTTATGCTAAATTCAAGTATTATAATTTTTTCATATAATTGAAAATTTTAAAACTTCTAAGACTAATAACAAAAACTTTAAAAGATATCCTAAAACGAAAAGAACGATTTTGCTGCATCTAAAAAATTTAGCTAGATATAGATCTGAATATAATTTTGTTGAATTAACAAAATGATTACCTATAAATGTCAAGCATGATGAACAATGCTATAAAAAGTTTTAACGTTCTAGTAACCAGTTTAAAAGTCGTACATAATTACCGCCATTACTTTGATAGCTCAACAAATTTATTTTTAAATCTATATCTACTTGAATTTTTAGATATTTCAGCAAAATTGTCCTTTCTGTGCATATTCTTCTTAGCGTCACAAAAAATGTGTTACAAACTAATCTTGAATAAATGCCCGTTTAGAGCTAAAGACGAGCATAAGTGTTTAATATGGTTCAGGTAATATCGCAATTTTCGACACTCATTTCAATCAGGTGACTGATATGAGCGAGCGCGTGCGATAAGCGAGCTCGATCATTAGTCGAATCATGGAAACGCATATACAGGGTGAGTCATTTTAAGTGACAGATCCAAATATCTCCAAAAATACGCCAGATACAAAAAAATGGTTTAGACAAAAATTGTAGAGGACAACGGGGGACATCTAACTGTGCTAACAGTTTTTATCTTCAGGTCGATTTTCAAGGTTATTTGAAGGTCATGATCATTTTTTTAAATGGAATTATATGAATTTTTTTACATAATATGATTCCTCTAATTATTCTGCATATAAAAGTATTAAGGTAGCGATATCAAAAAACCAATAGTTTACGAGATATTTTATATTTCATTGTGGCACATATTGATATAAAATATTAAATAATTCGTAAACTATATATATATTAATTTTTTGATAATCGCGTACCTTAATACTTTTATGAACAGAATAATAAGATGAATCAATTGGTGGAAAAAAAACACATAGTTGCTTATTTAAAAAATTATCCATTTTGCATACATATTTGCATACGTATCTACCTGTACAACGCAAATAAATAATGAGGTGACGTTTTCAAAATTCGCTGGAATTCCACTACAGGATCGATTTTTTTTTCGACCAAAGTCGTGTAATATTACACGCGGAATCGTGTCCCGTCAACAAAATAAACCGACATCTTGATGTCTCTTGGAAAATAATAAAACTGACACTTTTCCGTGAAGCAAAAAGCACATCGTGAAATAAAAGGTGCAAAAACTAAACAAATGTCCTCTAATGGCAATAAGGAAAATAATCTGTATCATCTTTTATTGTATGCGTGATGTTCTTTTATTACATCATATATTGTTTTATCGCATTTTTCTTAATATGCGATTATTATATGATAGTTTCTTATTACACGATAATCTTTCGTGTTAGTCATACTGTGAATAATGTTTAACGCCGTATTATACGCGCATTTAAATTACATAGCGAGTTACAAAATTGTCAAAAAATATTTTTAGGGACTAATTACACGTAATATGTAGAATCATCCTAATCGTCGGCCGAGACAATTTAAGCGAAAGAATGTCTTCTTGCTGAGAGCTGAGAAGCAATTTTACGCGATTGCATTCAAGCGAATTAACCGTTACTTTACGACGTTGCAAACTGTAAGCTTTTCCCTACCGCATTTATGCCTTTTCAGTCGCATCGCAACTGATTTATTCCGAGTGTAATAAATCCTACGAAATTTAAAGGGACCGAGATGAGGCTCAAAATCGCTTCAACAATCTTCCTTAATAATCTTGTTTTTTATTATAAAATCTAATTATTTCGCATACTCTAATCAATCATATTATTCTCACTAAAAACTCTACAACTTGTGCTTTTTATGCACGGAAGAACGATTTGGTTGAAATATTATAATAATTTAGCTATAGATATTCAGCTATATAGATCTGAAAATTATTTTGTTGAATTATCAAAATAATTATATAAGAATCTAAATGCGCAATGAAATTATTGTCATTATTATTATACTATATTATTCTAGCAGTTAGTTTAAGCGCCTTACATAATTATTTTAATGATCCAACAAAATTATTTTTAGATCTGTATCTAACTAAATTTTTAGATAGTTGAGTAAAACCGTCCTTTTCGTATATACTTATATAGATACTTTATATAGAAACCGTATGCGACCGTCCTCGATTTTTTTCAAAACCGGAACAATCCACCTGTTTTTTCGAATTCTCACTTAGGTGGCAAAATCGCGCGATAAATCCCAGGAAAAATAGTTGAAAACCGATGATTCTATAACGTGGCAGACTTTCTCTGAAGAATTTTCACGGAGGGAACGAGGAAAAAGTTTTACTCGCGCTTGCGTTTGCGATCGGGCGCGTAGCGTTCAGAAGGGTCGAAAGGAAAGAAAGAGGAAGGGAGAGAGCTCACATTTTTTCCTGCCTCCCGACGTGGTCCACGTGGCCCCGTTGAAAGCGGATGGCGGCTCGTCCCGAATTCGTCGGAGGGAGGGCACGTCGAAGCTCACATTTCCCCGCGCGCGCGTCGGGAAAGTCCGCGGCGAGAAGGATGAATCACGTATGGTAAACACCTGGTGCAAAAATCGATCTGTACGTATCTGTACTGATCTCCTCTCCGCGAAGCCTCGATCTGCGAGCGCATCAGGTATGTATACGCGCGAGAGCAGTGCGGATTATTTTTTTCTTTTCTCTTTCTTTCTTTATTTTTTTTTCGGTCGCTTTCAAAATTCGCGCATCAACGAACTCACCTCGATGTTTCGCGAGCGCGTTATCGCGGCCGATTCACCGCGACTGATAAGCGCGATCGCATTGCCAGACGTTGCTCCGATACACTCGACGGCCCCGACGACCGACGAAACACCCGCTCCACTCCGCCGTCGTGAACGTACTGATGTTTTATACCGATCAACACGCTGGCTGCTGCGAAATTGACGACATCTGGCGACGCGAAATCGCATAATAAGAAATATGACAAGTTCCTAGGAGTGACATAAACGCGAAATGTTACTATAAGACGCAAGCCGCGTTCTACAAAAGCGACAGTCAGTTCGGAACTGACTGTAATTGGTTGGAGTCGATGAGCGATCTGCCTTTTGTTATTTCGAGAAATATCAGTCGCTTGTTTCTACAATTAAAAATTATAATTGTACACATAATACTAATTAGTTTATATTTATCGTTAGATTAGAAAATTCTATGAACGTTCCTTTTGGTAAATAACTTTTTTAAATCGTATCATTTCAATATATAATATTTGTAAATGTATCATTATCACAGATAAATGTATTGGTAAATAAAAAATACAATTATGATACAATTAGCACGTTTGCTTTGAAAATTATCGTATGATTAAATAAATTAATAATCCGCTGTATACATATAATACCAATCTAAGAGATAAGCGTCGTAAATCTTCAGATGACAAGATTATAAACCTTCTCTTTCTATCCCATTTTTTCGTATTATAAGCCGAGAAATATATCTCGTTATCTTGACAACTGATTGCGGACGATGCTCAGTTCTATGCTCTTATATTCTCCTTTTCAGCATGTAATATTTACGAGTCGGAATTTATTATGTATCTTGAGATGAAAATTACAAAAATGAGCGAATTTACTGAAATATTAATCATTTCACTGATCAACATCTATAATTAATTTGTTTTTACTTTTGTAATTTTTATCTGTTTCAAATCAGGAAAGTCATCGTAATTAATCGCTTATCACACACGTGAGTAAATAATGAATCCATGCGCGTAAAGTGAGAACCCGCTTTCTTTAAAGTAAGATAACCAACTCTTTAAGAAAAAAAGCAGGACATTTAAAAAAATCAATATTAATTGTCGTAGTGAAATTTTAATAGATAAACATTTTTTTATAATTGTTAATGAAATACATGAATATTATTGTATCATTATATATTTGTAAATGACTAATGACTTAATGTATACACATAACATCACATGAGATCACAATAAATATTACATCAAGTCACGAGATTACATTTTATTATTTTAAATTGTATTTTTCTACCGAATGTTTTTATGAATAAAAATATCTGGATTTTTAAGTAAAAAAAAATCATAAAATTCTTCACACGTTAAAAATTACACTTTACATTTATTATTTTCACTTATTATTTCACACTTATTGTTTCCACACTTGAAAATGGAAAAAATTCATAGTCATGTCATTAAGCCGGCGGCAATGCTTGTTTTCTTGCTGGATTGCTAGCTAGAATAAATTCTTGCTACCGTATTGGCTACGATGCTAACACTGTCGGTACCGCAGCCAATACGATGGCAAGATTCTAATCCAGCTAGGAATCCAGCAGGAAAACGAGCATCGCGTGCCGCAGGCTTAATTTGGGATAAAACATTGGATTATCCCTCCTAATTTTGGACGATTGGTCACCTTACTTTAAAGCCGCTTCGCAACGCGTCGGCGTGACGCGCGGGTCTAGGGGAAAGTTGGACGTCACCCACCGCCGCTACTGGCCGCTACTGCCGTCGTCGTCGTCGCTGCCGCCGTCGTCGACACAGCGAAGCGAGCGAAAGAGCTGGTCTTCCTTCCGTTCCGCGCCACGCCGTGTCGTGCCGTGTCGTGCTGTGCCGTGCAGTGTCGTGTCACGTAGCAATTGCGACGGGCAGCGTTTTTTCGATCGCGCGACGTCGTGGGACACGCGGCAAGCGAGAGAGAACGAGAGAAAGAGAGAGAGAGAGAGAGAGAGAGAGAGAGAGAGAGAGAGAAGTCCGTGCTGCCGTGACGTGAGGAAGAGAAACGCGAGAGAGAGCTCGCGAGCAGTACACTCGGCGTACTTCAAGTAGCGCGATAATTCGCAAGTCTCGGACCACCGCTTTCCTCTTCGACTTCCCTCGGTCCGCTTTTCGCCCGGCGCGAACATGAATGAGGAGTACGACGCGATTGTTCTCGGCACCGGCCTGAAGGAGTGCATCCTCTCGGGCATGCTCTCCGTCAGCGGTAAACGGGTGCTGCACATCGACCGCAACAAGTACTACGGCGGCGAGTCGGCCTCCATCACGCCCCTCGAGGACCTGTTCAGGTGGGTACTCGCCTTCCCCGTCGCACTTCGACCTCCCTTTTTTTTCTCCTTTGTCCTTTCGGAAGGACGAAAATCCAGAAAACGCTCATAACTCCTTAGGCATCGTATCAAACGTGATCCTTCGAACCGTTCGACAATATCTGACATTCTGACGGTGTCTCCGGACGTTTACGTTACATGAACCCGCCCCTCGTTCCCTCTCTCTTCTTCCTTCCTTCTCTCTCCCCCCCCCCTCCCTCGTCTGGCGGAGAACTGTCGTCGTCGACAGCTGGAGCGACGTGACACGATACGATTGAGGATATCGATCTCCTTTCCTTCCACGATCGAAATCTTGCTAATGGATATGCAGGAAACGAAAAAGGGAGAATGGAAGAGGAGGGAAGCAAGGAGCGGACGAAGGAAGGAACAGGAGATACATTCCCGCTGGGGAACGTACCGTATCGTCGGAACTGCGCCGTATACGGACGAGGGGCGAGGGGGAGGCGTATCGATTCTCGAGCCCGCATTCCCGCCGCGCGCGCGAATCGTCCGAACGCGGTCGCGCTTTTGATTCTCGTCTCCTTCTCTCCACGATTAATTCTTTTCGGCGTCGGGACGCCAGCCCTCTCGCGTAACCTCCATGGTTTTATTCTGCGCGAAACTCTACGCAGTAAAGAAAGATCACGACGCAATCGTTTACGAACGCGCGACTCGCGTTCTACGCAAAAGATTATCCACGAAATAAATTCTCATTCGACGTCAGCGAGATTAGTCGATCTCTCCGCTCTCTGCGTATCGCGTTGCATTAAACCCAGTGTCCACGATGCTAGAAATCCGTCAAAGATCTCGGATGAAGAAAGAATTGACCAATCGCATTGATCATGTGACTAAATTGTTTAAATGCGATTGGTTAATTCTTTCTCTCTCCGAGATCTCGGACCAATTTCTAGCATCGTGGACACAAGGCTTTACACTTTCCGCAAACTTTCTCGAAACGGATAAAAGTTATGATACACAGAAAAGACTTAAGCAGCTTAAAATTGAAATGTGACAATTATACGAGCTTTCAAATTTTAACTTTTTTCTTTTGTTTGTTGCGTTAAACAATATAAGCACATCAACATTTAAGATTTGTTGTTGCTTACGTTATTGCCTAATGGTTTTTACTGTGTTGATCAATTTACTTATTGCTCACCTACGTCTATGTCTTATGTCTTTTGTGTGCCATAATCTTAATTTGACGTTAGAGGAGAAGGGATGGAAAAAATACAAAAGCCTGTGAAGGACAAGACTAAGGTGGACTTTAGTTTCGTTTCTTGTATTTGAAATAAAACGAAATGTACGAAAATACAAAATGGGCTGAAACCCACACAGAATACATTATCCGATGTGCTAGGAATATTTTTAAAACGTTTCCGGGGAAATTTTCTGCACGTCCTTAGAACATACCTTGGAGATCTGTTTTGTTTAGGAGATTTGGAGTGGAAACTAAACGGATTTATTTATACGGTATTGGAATTTTGGAGCGGAAACGAAATTAACTCCGCGTTTAGCTCCGAAGACGTTCAACGCTAATTATGAATTCCGGTCATTAGTACTGACCATTCGAATGAAGAGCGGAAAGTTCGGTACCATCGGCCTTCGCAATGGTTATACTCGAGTGTAGACAGGAGGGGAGAAAAAAAAAGAGTATCGCCCTCCCCTTCGAAAGAACCGCTCGATCGAACGTCGCGAAATCATTCGCGGAGCTGACGTTTAATAATTTGACCCCACGTTAAATTCTAAATTCTCCTCAGCTTTCTTTGTCACAATTTCGCTTACGGTTCTAAAACATCATTCTCTATTCCGCTTCTTAACTTAGCTGTACTCTGTACCTCTTAGTCTTTTCCTCCTCTCCGACCAACACACATTTTGATTTGAAAAAATTAACTGCTTGAAAATAGAAATATAAAATCGATCTAATTAATCAATTTCCTTTTTTTGTTACAATTTTAATTTACACTTTGATTTTAAATATTCTCTACAACAATATCAATATAAATTTTTATTGCAAAGAAGTAATGAAAAATATTCTCCTTTTCATTACTTCTTTGCAATAAAAATTTATATTGATATTGTTGTAGAGAATATTTAAAATCAAAGTGTAAATTAAAATTGTAACAAAAGAAGGAAATTGATTAATTAGATCGATTTTATATTTCTATTTTCAAACAGTTAATTTTTTTATTTAATATACTTCTTTACAGTTAGGTTTATTTTTATTTCTGTTTTTTTTTCTAATTTCTCTAGTTTTGCTCTTACTCTTTTCACCTTTCCTTCAAACTTTTTCTTTATCCTTGTTTGTTTTCTTTCGTAATTTCTTTCCTTTGTTTCTGTTATTATTTTTGCACATTAAATTATTTGCGTTAATTTTTTCAACGATGCATGTGACGCGAATGTACTGATTTCGCTGTTGGCACTTGTCAATATCTTTGATTATTGAAAAACTCGAGATAGGCGACAACGTACAAAAACCGACACGATATTCGGTACATTTCAATGCACGTACATATACAAAGATACGAGATATCCACACGTGTCACATGTATGAATCAATTTACACACGTATCAATTTACTGCTTATCGTACGAGAGGCGATTTTTCCATAATTCTCAACAACTCTATGCGAAGTACTGTTCTCGCATTTATCGCGCGTTACAGTAATAATTACGCAGGAAACACGATCGAACTTCAAATCACCACCTCAATTACCTTCTCTTTTCTCCTCTGATTACAGGTACAATTTCCTCCGCGAGATTTCCGCATTACGCTGAATATCCAGCTTCCATCTCATTGATCCTTCAAGTCTGAATTTCATATAGTAAAAACCATTATTTATCATTGCTTTTTAAATATGCTTTAAGTTAAATATTTCTACATAGAAAAAATATTTTTATGTTAATTGTTCATTTTGATAATTAGCACTTTTTTTTAATACTCGCTAATTCTAATTTTTATTTATTTATTTATTTATGGAATTTTCCTGACATTACAGTGGAAGCTGAACATTCTGAGCTAAACAAAAATGCGATTGGACGCAATGGATAAGAGAGGAAAGAGATAACACTTGAGATACCATTATTTTACGTTGTTTTTCACATTCCTCTTACTGTGATTTCGCCGCGGCACTTTCTTGATAATCGCATAAAAAATAATGCGCGATGAAATGTCAAAAGTTCGCGATTAAGGTCTTGCTTCTCGACTCTCCTCTACTTTCCGTCCTTTCGCCTGTCTAGGGTCTGTATTCTGTTGAGAGGTGCGGCGTCACCTGAAAAGCACGGATATCCTGTTGCCGACACTTGATACCGCCTGTTCCCTTATACAGCATCGCGCGAACATGAAAGTCTGTCGAAGAAAAGAAGGACTTTACTACTCATCCGAATGTAGATGGAAAGCGGAACGACGGCCGTTCCGAAGATTGCACGTAATTACGTGCCTCGTGTAAAAAAAAACGCGAGAAATGCACGTTGAGTGCCGCGACACGCTAGTTCTGGTGGACCTTTCGTTTACCTGCGGTCGTCTCACAATTGCGAATGCGAATCCAATGAATCCGTATAAGTAAAATAAGTAATTAAGATACGAATAAACCGCTGCGCAATGGTTATTCCGCGTGTTAAGAACGACGAATTTTAAATGAGAGTTTCAAGATGAATACGGACAAAAATAAAACTAATCGATATGGATGATCGTAAAGAATAGTCGCATGAACTGTAGAACGTATTTACGTAGAAACGCTTCTACGTTGTCGCACCTTACGTCATTGCGACAAAGGAGTCAATAACGAAAAGCGACTAACACGAACTCTCAATAAATTATATATATCGCACATGGTAATTTGTCTATCACTGTCAATAAATTATTGTCCTTCGAGTCACATTGCGTTCATAATATAGCTCAATTATTATTTACGAACAAATTGTCAACGTATGCGACGATTGCAGGTTCGTAAACAATATTAACACCTCGTGTCGACGCAGCAACCTCGAAATACAAAAATAATTTTCTCTGATAATTCTCAGTCGCGGTTTCTGATCGCAGATAAAGACTACGGAAGCGGAAGTCCGACTCAAATCTTTTAATTACGAGTGATGGAAATCATCGACTAACTGATCCTCGTAGTTTTATTTTTCTACATATATATTTTCGTGACTCTATCATTCAAAATTTCTTCGTGACAAATTCCATAAGCAAATTAAAAAACAGGGAGAGACATTTAACGTTCCTAATTATTTTAAAAAGCAACTACTTTAATTAAATATAATTGTACTTAATTTCACGTTATCTTTGTTGCCAATATTTTTAAAAGGATGTAATACATACATTTGGATAGATTAATTATCGCAGATATCAGCTTTTAATTATCCTGCGTTATATTGTTTAGTAAGTTCAAGGCTCCATCGCCAGACGATAGCTATGGCCGCGGTCGGGATTGGAATGTTGACTTGATACCCAAATTCTTGATGGCAAATGGTCTTCTCGTCAAGCTGCTCATTCACACGGGAGTGACGCGTTACTTGGAGTTCAAATCAGTGGAGGGCTCGTATGTATACAAGTCGGGCAAGATCTCAAAGGTACCAATCGACCAGCAGGAGGCCCTGTCCAGCGATCTGATGGGTCTGTTCGAGAAACGGCGGTTCCGCAGCTTCCTCATGTGGGTGCAAAACATGCAGGAGGACGATCCTAAGACGTGGGATGGCTTTGACCCCTTTAACAACAGTATGAGCGCACTGTATAGCAAGTTTAGTCTGGATAAGAATACGCAGGACTTTACCGGACACGCGTTAGCATTATACAGGTAATAATTAACGAAGACTGACTTCGTAGAACGGATGATTTGTGAAAATTAAAAGAATTTGTGAAACAAATGACATTCTTTTTTCATTATTTTAAAGTGTGCTTTATAGAAATATACATTTGCTAAATATTTATACATCCATTTTTAAAGAGTAATGATACCTGTGTTTTAATTAGGGATGACGATTATATAGGCCAAACTGCGATAACCACTATCAGAAGGATCAAACTATACAGTGACAGTTTAGCGCGGTACGGAAAATCACCATATCTCTATCCGATGTATGGTCTGGGTGAACTTCCTCAGGGATTCGCTCGTCTTAGCGCTATTTATGGTGGCACATACATGCTGGACAAGCCGATTGACGAAATCGTCATCAAGGACGGCAAGGTAACTTTTGCGTTTATCATATCTTTGCAATTAAACTTGCATTCAATCATTGAAATTAATTGTTGTTTCATGCAGGTGGTTGGCGTCCGTTCCGGTGATGAGGTAGCTCAATGCAAACAAGTTTTTTGTGATCCTACATACGTATCTGATCGCGTGAAGAAGGTCGGTCAAGTGATAAGATGCATATGCTTGATGGATCATCCTATACCTAGCACAGCTGACGCATTATCTACGCAAATTATCATTCCCCAGAAGCAGGTAATTGATGATAAATTTTATTTCGCGTATATAAAATTATAAGATCCTCACGAAAGATTTCCAATAATACAAATGAACTCTTGCAGTTTCTTCTTTAACTTCAATATTCTAAAAATTTTTCTCAACTAAGATCTAACAAAATCTTTTAACAATAATAAGATTAAAAGACCGCTAATGTTAAACATAATATTTTAAATTAAGAAGCGCCATAACGGTCAGAACGTTAAGATGTTGAACTATTGTAAATTCATTTAAATGAAAGTTATGGCGCTTCTTAATTTAAAAAATCTTTTAAGTCATTTATTCGCGCATATAGATGTGAACTTGTTAATATGATATTTGTAAGTTTTGTACTACATATATCTTTAATCAAATATTTCTTTCCTTAGGTCGGTCGTAATTCCGACATATATGTGTCTCTCGTGTCGCACACTCATCAAGTTGCAGCAAAGGGTTGGTTCATTGCCATGGTCTCAACCACGGTGGAAACGAAGAATCCTGAAGCTGAGATTAAGCCTGGTCTGGACCTGCTCGGTCCGGTCAAGCAGAAATTTATTAGCATCTCCGACTACATGGTGCCAGTGGACGATGGTCTCAACAGCCAAATATTTATATCCACTAGCTATGATGCTACCACACACTTTGAGACTACCTGCTTAGACGTGCTCGACATATTCAAGCGCGCCACCGGCGAGGAGTTTGACTTTAACAAGGTCAAGCACGAACTCGGCGACGAGGATCAGTAACCGTAATCACGGAATGCGCGCGAGCATGTACACACGACATTATGGGGAAATCAAAGCGCCCAGTGTATTTGCGTATTCGAGTAAAAAGGAAACATCGCTCGACGATTGCCGACTGCGTCGGCATGCGACAGTGTCTCAAAGCAGATACCATGGAACAAGTCACGCTGCGAGCAGACCTGTGCCTAATTATGTAGATTCTTTTTGATAGAGGATGAAAAACGGAAGCAAAAAAAGTTGACTAAATTCTCTCTATCAAATTTCTTTCTCCGTTTCACTACCTTCCTAATCTCGTTCTGCTGTTCCTGTGACACAGTCCTATCCGAAGCGCATGAATGTTCCACACTCACACGGAAAAGAATTCTCGGACTCTATTTCTACGATTTCGAACACCGAATTATATAAGGTTAGATTCAATTATAAATTTATATTTTACACGAAACATGAATCCAATCTGCCAATATACATTCGAAAAGAGAATAATAATAAAAAAAAGGAAATAAAGATATTGAGACGTCCGTCATAACGTGTATACAATACCTATGTACCATATTTTAATATATCGAAACAAGTGAAACGTTTATCGGCAGATTAAATTGTACAAAAAAGTCTACAGGCATTGTAGCAACATGATGATGTTGCTACAAAGGCTACAATATATTCTTAACTGATAATTAAATTTTACAATGTAAGTCTCATATCTCTGTTTAGATTAGCACTGGTAATTTCTATATAGATATAGAAAGATTTCTGAAAAGTCTCGGTTGTTGTGAAAAAGTACCTATATTTGGGTGTTAATTTTAGGTTGTCTAAGTTGCATTTATCGTTTCGAACAAAATAATCGAACAATAATATAGTTTTATACGAATTGCCAAATGACCGGCAAAGATATTCGTTGACAACTTTCTCTTGCTTATTAACCGTGTAGCAAAATTATAGAAGTAGCAATCTATAATGCGTTATTCGATGTATATTCGCGTATATGATTGTAACTATGTTTCATCTTCCATATCTGTTTTTCTCGTTAAAGAAACGCTCGTTTAGGAAACAAATCGTAACTATCGATAGCACGATTAGACATCTTCAACTTCAACGTACGTTCAGAAACAAAATTAGGAATAGGGAAGTCGCATGCTCGTGTACGCTTGAGACAAAATCGATGGTAAATGGGGAGGAAAAAAAACGAAAAAAAGAACGAACGAAGGTCGATACCGAAATGTTGAAACGAATATCCGGAGCGGCCAAGCATTTCATTATAGATATATTATAGATCTATATAGTATATATATTATATATTACAAAAAAGATATGTATACATATATATATAAATATGAGAAAATGGAGTCGTTGAAATATTGTTGTTTCGTGTGAGCTTGAGATCCGGACTACTTCATTTGCATTAGAAATTATTGTATCGTTATCTAATAAGGAAAGGACAAGTGAGCGCGAACATGTACATCGATCAAATCATTAACGATATATGTGCGTCGGAGAAGAAATGAATCGACCGTTTTTCTAGATTCACATTTTGTTTGCACTCTCGCATGGGTTACGACAGGCACACGCAATTTCACATTACATACGAAAATCTGATGGGAAACTGGTATACTCAGATAATGGACACTTGTCTCAACTGTAACAAATACGTCATTATCCATCATCTTGTAACACGAGAGCTGAATGGAATAAACAATATTGTATTAACCGTGTACCTTTGCAATTCCGACTAATCTCTTTTAAATATCGAAAGATGTGAAGAAGCTAATGAATAGTCACATTCATATTGCAAATTTTCATATATTATGTCATATTTAATTAAGTTTCAAAACATATAAATTATTGTCTCTACATCCCAAGACTGCAAGATCGTTATGAACGACTGGCGAAGAAAATGTTTCGCTGGGAAGTTGCTTGGTCGCTAACAATTTGCCTTCTAGAAGATCAAATACTTTAAAGATGCCGTCCGTACATGCTACAAACATATATCCATTTTCGCACCAAGAAGTCGCGAAAATTGGCGATTGCAGTTGTAATGTATATTTCAATTTTGGCTCATTTTCTTCAATTGTCCTTTGTGGCATTTCTAGACAATATAGATTTTTATTATGACTAGCTAATATGATGTACTCATCACTCGTAGAGTCGGGAGTCCATATCACAGGGTACGAAAATACATTGCCATATATCATATACCGCCATATCTGCAATAATAAAAGTTAATAGAACACGTCGAACAACAAAAGGAAGATATATATTTACCTGGCAATCAGTTTCGATATCGAAACAACACAGGGTTCCAGCTACAGAACAAAATAAAGCGTATCCAGTCCGAAGAACAACAGGCGCAACAAATACCGGATTCTGCAATTTACGTTTCCATATAATCCGTCCCGAAGATTGGTGTAAAGCCAGGCATGAACCATCTAATGTTCCGAATAGAACCGAAGTTGATTGTTGATGCAAGCAACCGGTAGCACAAATTCCACCTTGACTCGCTTTAGTTTTCCAAATTTGAATACCATCCTGTGAATGACTCATCTCTTGGTACGTTATATTTTACTTACAATTAGTAAAGCATATTATTTATCGTATAATTTTAATTAATTTATCGTTAATGATATCAAGATATGGATAACAATAGTACTTGATTTAAAATAAAAATGTCGCCTACCTCCGCCGAGAGGCAATATACATAAAAGTCATAAGACCCCACAAATATCTTGCTCCCTTGTGTACACATTATTGCCGTGCATTTAACCATGTCCTGTGTTTGGAACTTCCAAATTATATCACCAGTTTTTAAATGGATACAATAAATGTATCCATCGTAACAGCCTGTGATTAAAAACATATAATTTATTAAATAATGTTAAATTGCAATATCACTACGGGGCTTACCTACAATTCCATGAAAATCAGCTAGAACTAAAACAGAAGCTTCTATTCTGTTTGGTAGTTTTATTTCGTACGACACATCGGTTTTTAGCAAATTAACGGTACATATAATGCCGGAATGTGAAGCGACTGTTGCATACAGTTCTGTTCTAAAAATTAACGATGGTTGTATATTAGTATTATTTTGGATTTCACTTCCTGAAGTATTGATAAAGAATTATCTTTGTATATATCTTATTAAAAAATAATTTTCTTTAAAATCATTCTTACACGGAACAACGGTATATAGTTGGTGAAGCATCGACGCACTTCTGCAAATTATAAGTTTTTAATATCTCAATGTTTGATATATTTTTTAAAAGAGATTTGATGTTTTCTTCTTTTTTTAATGTATCGTTATAAGTTTTTCCTCTGCATTTGTACCAATGATAAGACTGCTTTTCACTTGATAGTGGAAAATTCTTTTGCGATTGTTTTATTACATACTCTTCTGTATTAAGTATCTTCTTAGTATCTTTACTAAGTATCTTATCATTAAAAGACATATCGATGACACCTTTGTCGCTAATTAAAATACTCCTGATGTAATTGATGCATTGGTCGAATGTAAAATCTTTCAACAACATTCCAATTAATTCTGGAAATTCTGTATTAAAAGCTTGAGTGGCAACGCTTGAAATCTGAAGCGCTGCTATTGATGTACCCCCTGACATTAAAAAACCAGCGTCTCTAGATTTTATGTGATTATTCCACAAGTTTTCAAATATTTCATTAATGTGTAAATTATTTACACTAACAATTTCTGTTTCGGAATTCCTACATATTTCTCTCAGTGATGTCTGGCAAATCTTTCCACTAGTAGTAAAGTTAAAGCGTTCTACTATTATTATCTTGTCAGGCTTATAGATCGCAGGTAATGTCTTTAAATGCGACATTATATCATCTCTCAATTTAGAAAATTCTTCTTTCGTGTCTATAATAGATAAACATAGATATAATTTGTGGCGCTCTGCGTCCCAAAATGTAGCACAATTTCGTACAAAATTCAATTCCGTAGTAACTCTCTCAAGCTCTCGCAAGTTCACCTTGTTTCCAAATCTTTTTACAATATTATTTCGTCTTCCTCTATAAAATATTCTATGTTGATCATCTACCTAAAAAAACCAGAAATAACAAATTTGAATAGGCTCATTTTTATTATTGAAAACAGTCTTAGACTAATTAAATTATAAATTTAACTAATACCTAAATTCTAAGCAGAATCGTAAGATTCGTAACATATTCTCGTAACACTTGTAACAACTTACAAGTGTTTATAATTTTATGCAATTAGCTTTACAGACAGTTTCTCTTGCTAGCCGTAAGATTTATGAGAAATTTTTTTTACAAATGATTGTACATCTTACAGTATATAAAATTATAAAACATCAGTCATAAGTTTTTATGTCTTACAAAAACAAATTATGAGCTTACGATTCTGCTTAGAATTGATCTATTAGTCTCTAAATAATTAATTTACAAGTAGAATTTACAGAAACAATGTCACCAGTATCGCGAAAAATTAATTTATTCAGATCTTCAGATTCATTTCCAACAATACAAATCCTAGTAGTACTTCCTAGATTGAAAAACATGTGAAATAATAATTTATATAAAAATAAGTTTTACAAAAATATTTCACATATATTTATAACGTTCAAAACTAACCAATATAAAGAGTGCCATCGCCCTTAATTGTTATTTGATTATCTTCATTTCTGATTTGAAATACAGTTTCTGATAAAGGTTCACCTAAACAAGACTCATATACATTGTTTTTGACAATTTCATTAATACTAGACCAACACGATACTTCGGTTATACCATAAATATTAAACAATCGTGTTGTATTTCGTGGATGACTAGCTTTTGAAAGCAATTTCATGCTAGGGAACGATTCTCCACCCAAAAGAAGAATTCTTAGCTTGGAATCTTTGTCCAAAATTGTTGTTTTCAAGCGTTCAGTAGACCATTGATGGAAGAGAAGTGATGGAGTAATTTGAAGAACTGTTACATGAGCATGAAATATTTTTTCTAAGAGTCTAAAACATATTTATATTTTTATGCTGTTAATTCTATTATCTTTTAGCATTTGTTTATTAACATGGATTTATTAATATTTAAAGATATTCACCTGACAGTTTCATTCTTTAATGCTTTCGAAACCATAAATAGAGTTGCAGCACAACAAAGGTTTAAGAAAATTTCAATGATACTAGGATCGAAAGTAAAATTTGTTAGTTGTGCTATTTTATCAGAGCTCGTTATATCCAGAATTTTCTTCAAATCCACAATATTAGGCAATATACATGAATGGGATACTTTGACAACTTTTGGTGTTCCAGTTGATCCCGAAGTTGCAATTGCATATGCAAAATGATACCATCTTCTGTTATAATTTTCTTGAACGTCTACTAATTTTGTTAAATATATCGACTGTCCATGAATATTAAAGGGATGTATAATGTTTCTGTTGGATGTTATAGACGTAGTAAAAATGTATTTTACATTTAAAGAACTAAATATCTCTGTATATGTCAATGGATCTT